TCAGAATAATTAACTTCATGTTTCAGATTGGGAAACTGAAGCATGCATGGAGGAAGTGAGTTTTCCAAACCCAGCCAGCGGGTCCCTGGCAAGCCAGAAGGAAACGCAGGTTGCTTGAGCTTAGTGCTCTCTCCTTGAAGTACCTTGCAGGGAGAAAACTGTAAAGCTGAGCCGTGCTTCTAGATCTACTAGCAATCTGTGGAGCAAGATGTTTTGCTCCTCTCTTCCTTCTGCTTCCTGGCTGGCTGTGCAAATGGCAGCTGAGAGAAGGCAGCTTAATATTATATATTAATTCCATCTGGGAAAGTACAGACCTCGGTAGGGATGCACTGCTCTGTACCAGCGGGGGCTTCATCAAGTCAGAATCATCCTTTCATTACAGATACTAATCCTGCACAGCTTTTTTTCAGGCGTACTACAGGGGCGTAAGGAAGCTTATTTCTCCCTGCTGGATTTTCAGCATTGGCACTTCCCTTCACCAGCATTCATTCAAACAGTGGTTGAGGCTGTCCTGCCAGCTGACGTGGAGTTAGCAATACTCACCAGGTCCAGTTCTTTCTTCAGTTCTTCATTCTTTTTTTTCTTGTTGCCCTTCAGGTCTTTGCACTTTTCTTCCTCTCCGGTCTTTGTTTTTTCCAGATCTTTTAGCCCATTGATCTCAATTGAGTAAACATCAGACTTTTTCTGTGGAAGAAGGCAGGTTTTAGCTTTGTTCCATGCACCTGCACAAATCAGACTCTGACAAGTCCTTCTGTTTCTTTGCTAAGTTGGAATTGCTGCTGTTTCTTTCTCCCAGCAACTTTGAGTGCTATCCCTGTCCTTATATCCCCACAGCAAGCACTGCAGCACTCACAATCAGGTCTTCAGCATCTGTCAATTACAGTGATTCCTTTAGAGAGCACAACACTTCCAGTGCTTTATGATCTAACACAAAGTGTGGGAATGCTGCCCAGGACCTCAGCAAAATTAACATGGAGTGGAAAAGGAGAAAGAAGAAAAAGAAAAAGAGAAGTTTATTTCTTTGGCTGCTCCTACAGCTTTTTAGATCCATGACTTCACTGTTATTTTCACTTAAAATTACCATTCACACGTTTACACCAGATGACATAAAATGGAGGCAAACAGCTTATTGGGCTGCCAGGGAGAAGCAAGCCTGTTACTTCTTTCTTGTTTACCCATACTGGCCAATCTAGTAACAGGTAAGTAACCCAGGGATGCTGCCAAACCTCTGACGTTCTGCTTTATGGATAATGTAACTTCAGGAGGGTTGCATCCTCCTAACTTTACATTAACACTGCACTCTGAAGGGCACACTTCCTGTGTTGCCCATTTGCCAGCTTCTATAATCATAACGTTCCAGATCCTAATTATCTTGTAAATTACATGCCATTCCTTGGAAGAACTATTGGTTGACCCCATTTCAGAGGCTTCCTTAGAGATTAGCCATCGGAGTCTCATGAGAGTCATGCTGGGTCTTATCTGATGGTGTGCTTTACTGGTGGGATGGATGTGCTGGTGTGCTGCTGATAGGTACACACATGTTTTGTAGGACATTTGTCATTTAGGTTGCTACAAAGGGAATCTTTCAGGTGAGTGAAAGTGTATGTCCTGTATAAAGCCTAAGTCAGCTTAAGTGATGGAAACAACAAGGAAATAATAGGTTTGGACATCCCATTGCTTACTATTATTCTGAACTCCAAACTGACCCCCTGTCCTCAGATGCCCTTTAATTAAAGGAATGTTGAAATATTAACATTTTATCTTGAGGAAGGGAAAAGCTAAGAGCTGGTGAATGGTTCAGCCAATTACAAGCCTGAAGTCTTTCTCAAGCACTTCAGTTTGTTTGACAAATATCCCAGATACAGAACATCTCCATTACAGGACGTTCTAAATTTTGAATCACACCAAAGACACACAATCTGGTTTATCTACTGGGATTCTTGCTTTGCACTCCTACTCTTCCCTTCAACTATCCAACTCAAAGATCTGTTTGGCTTTTCAAATCTGCACAGAGACCAAGATAGAGAAAGCAACTGTCTATCATGACAACCTAGCAGGAAGAGAAAAGAAAATTAGTGAAGTTAGGAAATTCTGTTGGTTGCTGTGCATGATGTACATATAACCTCTAACCTGCAAATCTTCATAAAATCTCAGATTTTGGCATTTGCAAAAGAGTTACTGTTCATGAAAATCGTGATTACAATACTAGCCATTCATGGAGGTGTTTTCTATCCAATCTCTTTGCATTTTAGGATTGGAAGTGCATACTTACCTAGACTGACAACCTTAGTCATTAAGACTGGATGCCCAATAGTTTCTAGTATCAATTCCATTTTTTGCTTTGCTCATATTTCTGATACACATAGATTAAATTAGAGCTTGTTAGTAGGAAGAAACTCACATAGTAGCAGCAGTTTTGGTGAACAGTGTACTCACCTTTACCATCTTGGTGAGCTTATTCCTTTCCAGATGCAATGAAGCAGCCAAGCCAAAAGCTCCAGATGAAAAGCAAAAGCCCAACAGGAGAAAAGTGGAACTCAGAGCACTTCTGACTGTTGCAGTGCAAAAGCTCACAGGGGTGGTAGTTCCCTCTCAGTTGACAAGCAGATGTTAGCTGGAATCCTGCTTGCGTTTTGGCATCCTTCAGGCAGGACGAGTTCGTTGTCCAGAGCCTGTGGAGAAAGAGCACTGTTTGCTGGTGCTTTATAAATCAGCATCTTGTGCTGCCACTCCACCCCTCCCCTTCCAGGTCCAGCCCATCTTCTGTTTCACCTGTAGTAGGTGGAAAAATACCACAGTAATGGGCATGTGGGTTTCAGGTCAGATAGTTTCTAATTATTCCTTTGTAGTGTTTGCTCATGACTAGGGAACAGGTGTATTATTCATCTTGCTAGAAGCAAAGAGTTTCCTTCACAGGCTTTCCAGCACTGGACTCCCCTTTGCATATCCAGCTGTTACAGCAACGTCTGCTGGAGAAAAGGAAGTCTGTGCACGTGTTGTGCCTCCTAGCAGCTGGCATGATGCTCTGTGTGCTGCCTAGGGTCCCTGGAAGCCACATCCCTACCCTGTATGTACTGGGGGTTTTGCAGAGCAATGGTCCATCAAGTTTCTCAACTTGGAGTTCACTCTTTATTTGTGGATTGCATTTGTTGTGTTTTTAACTTTCATGCATAACTGAAAGAAATAACTTCCAAGTGTGTTTTCAGTAAGAGCACTTAGCTAAATACTGCATGGAAATGCTCTTGTACCAATTACAAGCTTCCATATGGGAGTCATAAAGGCTTACGACACATTTGATGCCTAGTGTATCTCATCAGTCAGAAGTAACATTAACCTTTTCTACATCCCTGCAATTTTACTGAATTAAAACAAAGTTATACACATGGAAATATTCTCTATACTTTAACATTACTTTGGGGAAGAGTGTCTTTCATCTGCCTGGCAGAACTGGTCTCACAGCACAGCATAAGGTTGCAGCAGTTGGTGTTCTGCACTGCGTGATTCATGGGCTTAAAACTGCATCGTCTGAGATGCTGCGAGGTACCACAGTCCTTAGCAGGTGACTGAAATTGTGGTAAGAGATATGATGTGTTAGAAGTAAGTAACAGTGACCATTTCAAGCCAGATGAATAAGCAGTTGGTAGGGAAGACAAGCAAGTAGCATCCCTTACTGCTTAAACAGCATAAACAAATCCACGTTCAAATTATGGATGGGCTCCAATAAGTAGTGTTGTACTTATCCTCCTTAAATGATTATCATATTTATAAGTAAAGCTGTTTCTACTTCTCAGTTTATGTCTATTGGCCTTTTCCCATGGCATTCTCAATCTTAAGACGTTATGCAAGATACAGAAGTACACCTGGAAAGGTTTCACATTCAGTTTCTCCTGTTTATTTTATTGAGAATTGGATTGTATCCTGGAGCTTGAATAGAAACCTTTTCATACATGTACAAGTATTTGAGATTTCATAATATGTGCCATATACAAGAACACACACTGATTGCAGCCAGTGGTGCCCATTACCAAGGTACTGGAGCCACAAGGATCAAGAAGTGTGGTGAGCTGATTTGGCACCAAACTCATTGCTGATACTGGAAATGAGGGGCTTTCAAAAGCAAACACATACTTGGAAATAGAGAAGTGCCATCCAGACATGTCGTTGTGTTGTCCATCAGATTTGTTAGCAAAGTCTGCAGGCTGGAGAATGTGGAAACAGGGTGGCATACTTGACTTCTTCACTGGCAATTTTGAACTGGGAACTTGGATTCACAATCCATCGCTGAGGAATAACTGGTGGGTGGAACACAGGAACGTATATAGTATCCTGCTGTTAATTGACTTGTGGAAATAAATAATAATTCATGATTTAGGATGTCATCTGGGTCATTTTGGCAGGTTTTGCATTTCTCTTCTCAAAGTCACGATGACTTTTGCCTGAGGACAAATGTTAGAAATGCAGTTAGAGAAGTGTTTGGCAACAAAACAGGCTGTATGCTTTGGTCTAGCTGCAGCATTTGCACTGAACTATCTTTTACTAAAGGAAGTTCTTGTAGAAAATTAATTAAACTGGGAAAGCCCTATGACAGTGCCATAGTGTAACAGCATACAAGGTATTGACCTGGGATTGCCTTGCTAACAAATAGTCTGTTATGATTTGCCAAGTTAAAAATAAGAAACTGCTGGTTAAAAAGCTCAGTGGCAGGGGTTGTTATTAACTTTTGGAATGGTTGGTTCCCTTGCAAGTTACGAAGTGCCAATGAGAAGTGCTATAAAAGGCAAATCCCACGTTATGAACCAACGTACTGTGGTTGGGCAGTGTAATGTCCTTCTGTTGGGAGCACTGGTCTTGTTTTTTATTGTTTAGCCCTGCTGCAGAAGTAAATCAGAAATAAAGCCCAGGTGAGAAGCCAGGCTGCAGTTTTGGACAAGTGCATGTAGACCTTTGAATTCTGGCAGTGAAGTGTTTTTCCCTTGGTTTGGCAAGATGTGACATGCATCGAGAGGGATAAAACCCGTGTCTGTGCCAGAGAGCTGTAATCATCACGTGAGTTCCCAGCGTGTCTCAACACTCAGAGCTGAGCCCTGGTTTGAAGGTAAAATAAATGCGTGTTGTTCTGATTTCTAAATATTGGTCTAGGAAAATAGCAAGTGTCCTTTCTGAAATATTGTCTTATTTTGATCCTGTTCTAAGGTCATGTCTGCTAACAAGTGCTGCCCAAGGACAAACGAGCATGTTTGGCTGTTTATCATGCTGAGATGTCTCTTGTACTGTGGGAAGGCTGCAGGCTTGCTGGTACGAGACCCAGGGTCTTGCATTTGTTCTGCTTGTGCAGAGAAGGGGAAAATGGTTGTAAAAGCTTTCGGAGTAAAGAAGCAGTAGAATGGATTTGCCTGCCTTTTTCTTCCTGCAGATGTTTACCTTTGGAAATATTAGTTATATTTACATGTCTCTTGTGCCTGTATTTGCAAAATGGGCACTGTGCAGCTTTAGAAGCACCCAGAGATGCAGGTTTGGGTGGTGGTAGATGTGTGCTCGTTTGCTTTCCTGAGACTTGTTGCCTTTCCTCTGGGAGAGCAGCAGAGGGAGCACAGTGGCCTCTGTGCTCAGTGCTCTCCTTCATGCACTGCTTTCACAACAGCAAAAATATGGTTTTGGGGTACAGTGTGCACATCTTGTTGCCTTACTACTTGCCTGTCTCTGGTTGTAGGGAAATGCGTTGTGTTGCTTTTTATCTTGCATTGTAAAGGTAAAACCAGTTCAGGTGAGCGTTTCATTGTGCTAAAGTCATCTTTCAGAGGCAGGATGGGACTGCAGAGGGGTTAGGCATTGCTGGCAGATACGTGGATGTGCTGTGGGGTTGGGTTGTGCAGCCAGCTTCCTCCAGAGGCTGTTGGGCTTTGAACACCTTCTGGGTTCCTCTATTAGCAAAGGCAGAAAGCTGGGAGGGTTCCTCTCTTCCTTACTCAGGGAGAGGAAGAGCCCTGAGCAGAGGGAAAAGCTGTTGTTAAATCTTCTTATTCTGGAGTCAAAGACGTTAAACTGCAATTCATAGGCTGCATGTGATGAACGTTATACTTGTATTGATACTGCCTATACTGTGCTCTGTGTCTGAATGCTTCAGTGCTCAAGAAATTGTGTTCTGTTTCATGTAGCTCTGGATGGGGTTCATGGAAAGGTGTATTTCTGTGCTCTTTCATAATTTGCTATCTTATTTATCAGAAAGGAGTGTGGAATTATGAGGTGCTCAGCTTTTAAGATGGCACTTTAATGGAACTGTAGTCTGCCTCAATAGCAGTACTGGGTCGACCTTCTGTCCCTAAAGACGCGGCACAGTCACTGCTGGCATAGCCTGAGTGAAAGTTTTATCTCCGTTCTATAAAAGGAATTGCTGCACCTCGATGGATTTTGGAGCTCATGCATTGTTGAGCTGATTCTTGTGTATCCACAAGCGATAGCACAGATAAAATGGATCATTTCATGCATATATTTCAATACATCATTTATTTCTTCGCTCTATCCGAAGAAGAGGCGGGCACGGAAGAAGCGACTGGTCTTGTTACCTCTACTCCTTGCTTACAGAGTTTCTACTTAAAATCTACAACGATGCAGTCGTAGATATTGAGCTGCTTTCTGATGTGGAGAATTGCTCATTTGAGACCTTTTCAGGTGGATCATGAAGAAGCCACGACTGTCTGCGCTACACCCAAAGTGCCTGTGGGTTGTGTGAAGCAGGGAGCAGCAGAGCTCTGCCTTTCACAGCGTGCTGCTGGCTGCTGAACTCGCTGCTCCCTGCCTTAAGGAAGTTCAAAAAGAGAAGTAAAACTTGCACATTTTTTGTGGGTCGGGGTGGGGTGCAGGGCTCAGCCAAGCCCCTTCACGTGCCTTTGACAGATACGAAGGGAGCAATCTGTTGAAATGTTACATTTCTGAGGGGGGGGGAAATAGAAGCCACAGGTGAGGCACAAGATCTTGGATTTTCTTATTCTTCCTGCTTCTTAGCACTAGTGATACGAACCATTACTCAAACCTTACTGAACGTGGTATTAAAGGAATTAGGAAAGTGGAACTTCCTCCTCCTTACGACTGTCTGGTGCTGCCCAGAGGTTTGTTTAGGGCTGAAAGTTTTTCTTCTTTAACATTCTGGTGTTTTCAGTGTTTCATTTGAGATTATATGTAAATTATAGGAATTAAATAATTCCGGTCTTTTGTTATGTTTTGATACATTTTTCCTTCTGAAATGCTCTGTAATGTGCCAGTCAGGTATTCCAAACCAGTACATCTGGAGCTTGCACAGCTGACTTGTAGTTTGCAGTCTACATTCAGTCCTCTACAACAACATATCCAACCTCATTCCTGAGAGACGTCACAGCCCATCAAGTGACAGAGAAAAGGCAACTGTGCAATGGGGTGAAAATAAACAGTTAAGAGAAAGATGTGAATATAGACCCATGTGCAGCTGAAGTTGGGCACGTGGGAAGAGAAAATGGACGGTAATACAAAGTTATGTTTACCCTAAAGCACCTCTGCAAACGTAGGAAAGGAATCTTTGGGGCAGAGTTCCACTTGTAAAATATTTGGTGTGTGCAGAGCTTGTTTCTAAACCGTGATGTAAAGTGACAGCATTCTATGGTTAGCAAAGGTTTCCATACGCAGCCGCTGGAAGGATGTTTTCCATTATTAGGCCCTGAAGTTCTTGCAAGAGCTCTTTGGTCTTGTGGCTCTTGCTGTTTTTATAATGGAAAGCAGGTCATTGGACTAACGTGACTGTACAAGTAATTGAGAACCGATACGGCAGGACAAGATGTTGACTGTGAGATAATTCACATCGTGAGGCTGTTGAGGTGCCACAGCCAGATGTTTACTGGCTGGGTGACCTCTATTGGAAAGTGATTAAAAATGAATCAGTTGGTTGAATGTGGGTTGTTCGAACAGATGGATTTTTTTATTTATCTTTCTACCCCGTGATGGCCCTGCATTGATGTCACATCACCCAAGAGCTCTGCTAAGAGAAAATGGCGGTTTGTGAGCACTGAAGGGGTGAGTGTGTCAGCTGAGAATGCCAACATGCTGGCTCACAGCTTGCAACAGCTGCTGGCAGAGCAAGTCTGGATCTTTAGTCACAGTCTGCAAGGCCAAAGGCTGGGACTGACGAAGTGATGGCTCATGGTTTACAAGACCTGACAGCCAGTGACCATTGCATGGATGCAGGTTGACCTCTGCTTGGTATTCCCACCTGGGACTGTGCTTGCAGATTTGCAGGCAGGGAGCAATGTTTACATTTGCCAGTGGTTGGAGTGGACATTGAGAAAGGTGGGCTTCAGCCTCAAAGAGGAGAGTGCAACATGTTTTAAAATGGCTGTTTTTGAAATTATTTTTTCATTTTGCCTTTGCATCTGCATCCCCAGAAAACTGGATAGGTTGTAAAAGCAGTGGTAGGAATCAATTGAAGCATTTAATAGAGTGTTTTGTGTCCTTTTCTTCCCTTTATTTTCTCCCCACTTACATGTGGTATCGTTGCAGTGGAATTCAGCAGGCTGCTTTAAATGGTGTGGATGGAAAGAGAGCTTTCTCTTCTCAATTATACCTTTAGAGATATTTCAGAGAACCTGTGTGTATTTCATTTTTATTGTATTTCCTTCTGAGATTCTGCCATCTTCCAATAGCAGTCAGGTTTATGTGCTGGAGTAAAACAGAGGCTTTCAGAGTGAGAGAAAATGGTCTTTGAAGTGGTTGTGGGGGTGACACAGCGGAGATGTTCGAGCTGCAATGTGAAGTTGAAAGCAGCATTTTGTCTGTGGAATTTAAAAACCACGTGGGTTCGTATGCAGCCCAGGGCAGTGTGAAACGTCACCCTTGTGGACCTTGCACTGAAATTGCTTAGGGTCAGGAAAAACTCGTTTCATATTTGTCGAAGGCACGTGAAGGGGCTCGGCTTGCTGTTGTCTCACACTGGCTTCCCTGCCCTTGGCTCCATCCAGTTTCACGTGCTGTGATGGCCTTGAGGGGAGCAACTGGGGGCAGGGGAGGAGGAGGCTGTGCTCCTTCAGAACCCATGGGCTGAGTGCATCCCCGTGCTCCATCCTGGGGCTGTCGGACCTTTCACCTGCTTTCCTCTTGGGAAAATGCCCTCAGCTTGGATTGACACTGGGTATCGTTTGGCTGCTGCTCAGAACCAGTCCAACCGCCCGTTGGATGCAGATGGGTGCAAAGTCAGTTCCCTAAGAATTACAGTTATACGGTTGGGGCTTGGCTGGCAGGGCCACACAGCCACGTGTTTTCCAGAGGTAAAAGTGAACCAAAATGTTTTCCTGAGGACTGTATGGCCCCAGAATGACAGCAGCCACACTCAGTGACCCACTGACTCTTACAGGAAGGGACAGACCCTCGTTTAGCACAATATTAATCAATTTTAAAGAAGCTCACATTTGAACGTTGTTTTGAATTGGGCCATAGCTGCTACATTCTGCTTTCTGACTTGGTGACATTAGTAACAGCCAGACTTTTTCTTAAGGCATTTTTTTCATTCCTTCTCACCTCTAAAATAATTACGAATTGGATGGACAGAAGTTATTCTGATTAGGAATAATTAGTTGATATTTAATAAAGCCTCATGCTTTTGCTGTCACCCTGGTTTCTATACAGAGTCTGTTTCTGCACTCTGCAACACTTGAGTTAGTAGAAGTTTGAGTCACTGTTGGGAGAGAAGATGGATTCTGTGCCTGATGGGCTGGAAACTTGGACATGATGTTGACAGCATCTTTGAATTCGCATCCCATTGTGGTCCATGCAGCTTTGGGATTGGCTCGAGGCAGCATGGTTAGTGTTGGAAAAGGCATTTCACAAAGGCTACCAAGTCTTGTTAGGTGTGACGTGTACTCAGGTGTTTTGTAGTTTTGTTCTGGTGAAATGTTTGTATTGAACAGTTCCAAGATATTGTATTCAGTAGAAAACGTCCACTGAGTTTAGCTTTTTCCCTGTAGATCTTCTCCTTTTGAACATCATTTCTGCAGTACTTCGTTACTTACTGTTCTCAGCCCCAGAAAGGCCCCATAGGGTAGACCTTTTTAGTACCACCCTTCAAGGCTCAACCCTGGGCAGCTTGAGCTTTTCCACTATGTGCCAGGGTTGTTTTTCCACCAGTGGATCGAAAGGTCAGGAGCATCCTTGCCTCTTTATGGATGGAGAAACTGAGTCACAGAGGGGCAGCAACCTGCAGAAGAACCAGGAAATCTGCAGGCATCGTGGTCACAGTGTCACAGCTGTGTGATGTGCTGCTCTGTGGGGCTGTCAGTCTGCTCCAAGGTTTGCACAGCTGGCTGCTCCACAACCTGAGTGCTCCCACAGTGAAATCAATGGCAGTAGTGAGGTAGTAGTGAGACCCGAGCTTTCTGCTTGCTTCATTTGCGTCCCTTTGCCGTATAATTTGCTTGATGGCTGAGAAACATAATGGGATCCCCTAGTATAAAATTGCTTAGGATGAGATACAGCTCATCTAATTTAACTCTGAGGCTGCGCTAGTCACTCAGTTTGTCTTTATAGCCAAAGGGAAGAAAGAAGCACCTCCAGACAGCAATTCATCTCGTTTGTGTTAAGCATATATGAGATAATGATTACACTGTGGAGGCATGCTGCTCTCTGCCTGAACAGAGGAGGAGCCTGGAAGAATAATTTGGATGAAATCCCTGGCTTATAGGGGAGGCGAGTCCTGTCCTGAGGAATAAATGCCTACAGATGAGCCCAGGTGACATGTTTTAAATGCCAAAACAAGCATTTTTGAAGGATATGGCATATTTTGGTTTGGCTTTTGTGTTCAGACCTGTCAGAAGGAGTCGCAGATGTGGGCACGTGTTGTCCTTGGGCTTCCAATGAACACATTTAGGCAGGAATTGATCTTCCGTCTGTCACGTCCATGGGGAAGGATTTGCTGCTATTGCTGATTTTTACCAAGAAAGGTTCTGACAAGTCCCATCAAGTTCTGCTTCGAGAGTCAATTATCCTGAATGCATCTGGGCTGAGTGGATTTGTGAACAAACTAAGTGGGAAGGAGAGGTGCCTATGTGGCCAATGCCGTGCTCAGTATGCAGAGCCCTGCAAGTCAGCGGGGTGGTGGTTGAGGTCAGTCATGAGTTACATGCAAATAAGAATCGTGGTAATATAAGCAAGCAAACAAGCTGAAATAGCTTGGCAAGATCTCCGCTTTTGATGAGAGGGAGAACAAATTGAGTTGTCTTGGTTGTGGCTCTGCCCCAAGCGCTCCTCCTTGCTGCTGTGCAGCCTGTCTGCACAAGCAATGCAGCAAGCACTGTGCTCCAGCTCATCTCCTTTTGGAAATGAGCACTGATGTTCCATGGTACCCCACTTCCAGGCACCTCCCAGGGCAGAGAGGGTCGGAGCACAGCTGCACCTTGCAGCAGGGCAGCCACTGCTGGCATAGGAGCCAGCTGCAGAGCTGGAACAGCACAGCCACATCAGCACTCTGCCCACCAGCATGAGCTGCATCACAGCAGTAATTGGTGTTTGCATATCGCTTTGCAAAGACGGAGAAATTGCTGAAATGCAAATGATAAATAGGTTGGCTTCCAGAGCCTCTGCATAGCTCACCCTCACAGCTAATTAAGCAGTTAGGAGATTGGCATGAATGTAAAATAAAAGATTGAGTCAGACAGCTTTTTTTTTTTCAGCTTGGTTGTGACTAGACAGCCTTATTCCTTCTCAAGTGTATTGATGAGCTGTGAAACCGACTGGGTCTAGAGATCTGTTGATAGAGGAACATGCAGCATTTTGCCATCTCCATTCCAGGGGGCATCTTAAAAGCCATCTCTCTTAATGTGAGAGCTGCTTGGTGATGAGATTTACAGTGCTTAGCGCCAGCGTGGTGATTTTACTTTAGAAGTTCTCATTCTTCTTGATGATGATGGGATTTTATATTTGGAAATGTGCATAACTTAGTTACTGAGTTGGGGTTTCGTTGGCCACTCTCCACGTGCTTTTTAGCTGGCAATAGTAAACTTGGTCTTTGTCTGCTCTGTAATTCTTTTAAATTGTAGTGCAGTTTGGGCAGCCAGGACAATAGAGACAGATAATGATGGCTCAAAAAGTTCCAAAATGTACATTATTCCTCTCTCCTAAGGAAAATGTAATCGTGGCAAATTGAAATACATGAGTTAGTATTTGCTTCCATGGAAGTGAAATCTGGTACTTTGATAGCTGATGTGGATATAATAATACCTCACTTACAGCTATTTCAGGGCCCTGAAAATTTCCTCTTGTTGGAAAAATGAGGCTTTGTAATCATAGCATGTAGAAATGGATGCTGCTGCATCGTGTGAAAATAAATTACTTTTTAATGTAATGTATTTGAAGATTAATAACTGAACATCCATTTAGGAAAGCTCTTTGGGCAAAGAACTCTGTTTATTGGGTTGGTACATAAAATCAGAAGTGCGTTCAAATATTCCTGTCTTGCAGATCATCCTGAAGTGTATTATTCAGCTGCTGAAGTGATACTACAAAATGAGTATCATTTTATATTAGAATGCATGCAAAGCTAAGGGGAAGGAAGAATTATGTGCTACATAATAGGAAAAGAAGACTAAAATACAACAGCGAAACAATTGAGAAGGCCTCAGAAAATGGGAAAGGGAAAATAGCATCGTAAGGAGAGGTGGTCGTAATGCAGTGCTGGTCCTGGGTGAGTTGTTTTGTACTCTGCAAAGTAATGTTGTGATTTCTCCTCACCAGAATGATGAGTGGACTGAACCTGCCAAAGGTGACAGAAACCAAAAGCTCAGTGTTTCTGTTTGTGACCCGTTGTGAAGTTGGGTTCTCTAAGGAAGAGACAAAAATGAGCACACTTGCATTGGAATGACAGCACTTTGGTTTTGATCCATCAGAGGAAACTGGCATCACATCACAGAGCTGTGTCATCCCCAGGTAAGATCCTCACTTATGCCCTTTCCCCCAAATCCACCTCTGTTCCTGAGTCACTGAGCTGTGAAGTTAAACCCAAGCACTGTGGGCTTTCCCTCCAAGCAGGGCTTTGACCCACTGCATTCAGCTTCCTGCTGTGGGTTTCAGGCTGAGTTGCAAGGTTCTGTCTTTCCTACTGAACTCGATGATCTTGAAGGTCTTTTGAACCTGAGCAATTCTGTGATTGGACTTCATGAAACTGGGGTAAAGCAATAGAGTGCGTTTGACCCTGATGGTGGGCAGCTTGAAGTTGCTGGAGGTGAAGAGCATGCCTGCTGCTGCTGCTGGTCAGCATTCTGTCCTGTCTGCCTTCAGACACATCCCTTCTTGTTACCAGCTGCCACTGACAGATTTTGCTTTTGATTTACACCAACCCCATTACTCAGCAAGAGCAAGCTGTAAATTAGTGCTTGAGAAGTATGAAATGAATGAATGCCTGCTGTTAAAGGAAGCCATCCAGAGCATGTAAAGATCTGCCAGGTACACTGCTCTGGACCCATATGTGATTTGCATGTGCTTCACTTCCTTATGGAGATGAGTCAGAGATAAAAGAGTTTCAGTCCATTGAGGAACTGAGCATCTGCCTTAAGTAGCTGCACATTCTTGATTTCTCTTGAGAGGGAGATAACAGGGGCTGTGATCCCTCCTGCAGTACCTTTGGGATGGGGAGTATCAGGAGAACAAAATGAATGCCTGTACTGCAGCAAGCCAACCAGACAGTGCCTGAGCATCCCCAAAGTAGCTGGACTCTGTCCTGCAGCCAGCACTGTCCCCATCCCTTTTGTGTAAGACATTCTTTTGTTTCCTTCAAACCATCCCTAAAGTTCCTTTGTTCATTCTTTGCATCCATTTGAGGTGCTCTCGGCACTGCGCTTCCTGGCACCGTTTCTCTCTGTATGTTTCTAAGCTGTTAAATGCATTTCAGCTGGAGGTTTTGCTCTGTAAATCGTTCTGTCCCTGCAGTGCAATATGGACTGGGCTGTCAGCAGTTATTTAGGGTGTAAAAGCAAGTTTTGAATCTTCAGAACTGCCCACCATGTGATCTGATGTTGAAAACCAGAGAGGTGCTGGCTGTGTGCATCGTGTTTCTTGCAACTGAACGCCCAGCTGGGGCACACAGTGCTGTAAGCTCACAGCTGCTGTGATCTGTATTCACTGGGCACATTTTCCTGCAGACACATGGTGAGCATGAACATGGATCTTCTTATGTTATGTGCATTTTTCCTTGCTTTTCCCTTAAGAGGAGAGCCTGGTTGCAATACCAGCATAGTAGGCAGGAGAGGGAGCTTTCTCCTTTGGATGTCACATTGCTGGCTGTGATTAATTCCTTTGGTTTTGTGAGGGTGGGGTGCCATAGCATTATAAAGGGTGTTTATGGAGATAATCCACTTATCAGCCCAAGCACACATTCTCTCTCCACCAGAAAACAAATTGCTTCTGTCCTCACTGAGAGAGATTGTAAGGGCTATCCTAAACTAGAGGGACAGGGGAGGACATGGCACGAGGCTGATAACATCAGAAACAAAAGCAGAAGCAGGGGACAAATAAATGAATTTATTAAAGAACAGCTGCGAAATACAAGTGATCTACTTCAGCAACTCATTCATCAAGGGGGTTTGGCCTTGCCTCATTGTAATCTAAATTGAATCTAATTTAGATTCCAGGCAAGGGGTGGGAATCCTTTCCTGAACCAAAACAAGCCTTGCCACCTCCTACCTTTCCATTACTCATTCCTTAATTTGTTTGGGTTTGTTATGTAGGACACTCAGGAAGAATAGCTTAAAGCTGTGTGTGCCTGTGCTGAGTCTGATGTTGTAATCCCTGCTTTGCCGTGCATTGGGCTCACTTTTTGGTGCAGACACAGCACCCAGGGCTGGCAGCATGCCTCTGCCCAGGGCCCCAGCACCTCAGTGTGAACATCTCCCTCTCCTGAGCACTGGCTCTCTTGCTCTGCTGCTTCACGTAGTGTTTGGGAGCCCACTACACACTTGGGATCAAGCAGTTTCTGTTTTTTCTCTCTAAAAATCAGCTCTGCTGGTGCCTACACACATCCAGCCCACCCTAGGGACAGACATTGGCAGGTAGCTTCCTGCAGTTTTGAGGTACCCCACTTGCTGACCTACTTTCTGTTCTGGCATTGTGTGTTGATAAACAGCAAAACTCAGCTTCATAGCCTGTGTATGTCTGGAAAGACCCAAGGGCAAAACTCCTATCTTCATCTTCATGCTCATCAGTGCTGCATGCCCTATTTCTGTATTGGTAGCCAGCTTGTTCTTGCCAGCCTCCTTGCAGAAAGTGTTACAGGCCACGTGAGAGGTGGGTGATTAACTGCTTAGAGGCAACCAGCTGGCAATGGGAGTGAGTGTGGGAATGCTGCTTCCTTCCCACTTCCGAGCACTGCACCAAAGATTGAGAACCTCTGTCACACATTGAGAACCTCTATCACACATGAACTGCATTCTAGACTGCTCCAGGGAAGGGCTGGGGAGTTTTGGTCAGGTTGAAGAAGGAAATTCCAGCTGAAGCCAAAATTGGGTTGGCCTCAATAGAGCAGGACACAGGTGGGAAAACATTTCCTTTTCTGAGATTCCTTGAATGAGTACTGGGGTCTGCTGGGCAAGGCAGTTCTCCTGATCCAGTAGCTGTGCTCTCTGCTGCACCAACCTGCTGTAGTGAAGCCCTGTGCTCTCCTCTTTCTCCCTGAAGGACTCTTGATGCTGCTCAACCCTCTGATACTGTTCAGCATCACTGTACCCCATGAAAACTCCCATCTTATTACATTATGAGCTGAAAGGCATTTGCAGTTTGGTGGCCAGGAATGTTGAAACACCTCCTGAGATAGTGTATGAAGTATATATCTTGGAGATAGCTCCTACTCACAGCAGGGTGTTTGCGTTGTATTTTCCAGGTGTAGTCAGAAGACTTCAGCCTGTCAAGCCCTTTTTTTTGGCTTTGAGACTGGAACAACACTCAGGAAAATCTATCTGCTGCAGGAAACGTTCCTACCTGTCAGTCGTAGCCTGTCCTCACAGTCATGCAGTGGATTCCCAGGGTTGTGTTCAGGTCTGTGCTGTTGTGTGAAATGGATTAAGGTAAGAAGATGCTGCCATCTTCAGCAGGAGCAGCTGCTGGTACTGAATGTTAGTGTGTGGGCATCCATGTGTTCCACGAGCAAGATGGGGAAAAGAAGGGACTGTAAAGGTTTGCCTGGAAAGGGAAACGAGTGAGAAGGTTTTGCTGAGCAAGCTGTGTCCAGGCAGGAGACCAGGTTTGATCAACAGACCTGTGCATGATCATGGGGCAGCAATGAAGGTATGAATGCAATGAAGGGGTCAGTGGTGGGGCGGAGGCTGTGTAACCTGGTCATGGCAACAGGAAATAGGAAGGCAGGGGCCCTCGCCTCAGCCTGGCTTTAATCTGTGGCCTTCAGCAAAGTGCTTGGCCTCGGTCAGCCCCTGTGCCTCCTGTTGGGGTTGGTCCTCATGGGCTGCAGTGGTTGAGGGACTGATTCGTTGGCAGCACCTCCAGAAATCAGGAGGTGATAGTGAAGGGATATTGAAAACCCAAATGTATTTAGCATCAGTTGATACATGGGGTAAACTCCATACACTACATGGTCTTCCAAATTCTACTTCTATGGACCCTAAAATAATTGGGGTGGAAAATTGGTATGTTTTATGGTATTTTGGGTCAACTCAAATTAGCTGTTGTGTTCTAGATACTTGTTGATAGTTTGCTGTTAGTTTTTAAAGTGATTTTAGATTACAGTTCCTCTAAAAATGCAGTTTTCTTTCTTGCTTTCAGAGAATGAAAGAAGCTGCCCTGACACATCACAGAAAGCACTTTTCTTTCTAAATCAAAGTAAGCTTCCAGCATTCACTGAGGATGTGTGAAATCCTTATTTCTCCTTCAGAAATAGCTCCGTGCTCGTGTGTGCTGCACTGAAGTGTGTCATCTCTTGGAGAAACAACCCGTGTTGATACTGGTTGTGTGTTGTTGTTCTTAGATGCTGGGAAAGGGCTCTCACGCCTGTGGTATGTGAGGGAAGAAAACCTATTTATAGAACAAACAGCTCCTTTGTTAGAATATGTCATCTGGTTTATGTCAGGATGGGTGTAGGAGGAGGAAGGACTGTGGTAAAAGCAGTGGGAGTTGCCCTCTGCAGTGTGCAGCCCAAACCCACTGAGCACCTTTCTCTCTGGCACCCAGAGCTGTGCAGGGAGAACAGTTATGCACTGGAGATGGCAATATAATCCCTACCAGGCAAAGGGGGGATGTTTAAATGATGCCAACTGGGAACATCTGTCAGGGTTGTGCTTTGGAATGCACAGCCTGGTTTTAATGTAATGAAATTTCTGGCATAAAACTTGTGTGTTTTTATAGAAAAAATATATATATATATTTCTCCCTCAGTGGTTTTGTTCAGAGTCTTCTGAAAAATCATGGGCATCCCATGATGTCTGTGGTATTCATTCAGGTGCATGAAGGTGGTGACCTCTGCGTCCCTCGTTCTGCCGATCCTACCCATAAAAGCCCATCGAAGGTCTTGAAAATAGAAGATCTTGGCTTTAGAATGAAAACTGTTCTTCCAAAAATGTTTTTAGATTGGAGGTTGTTTACATTGGAGGTAATAAGTAGCTGTTGGAGATGTACTGTGAGCATCCTGGGTGCTTGAATGATCAGAATTGAGGAACTCGGGTACTGTTAGCAGCTGTGTAGTGCCATTGGAATGGGAATGATCACACCACTCCTCACTGGGTCACCTGGGTACCCTTTCACCTCATTCCTACAGGGCTTTTGTGACACTGCGGATGGCTTCCAGTACCCCAACTTTTATATAGAGGGACACATATAGTTGCCTCTTAGAGTGGCATACACGAGTATGGTGTTCTCTCCCTGATGCGATCTGCATGGCTCCTTATGCACAGCCTGTTGTTTTCATTGGGTGATTGTTATCTGGACAGGGATCCTGTGGGGCTGAATCTGTACAGATAGGAAAGAAAGAGACAGAAGGCACAGCAAGTGGTTTCTTGTTTTGATTATTCAAAAGCGCATATAGTAATAGCAAGGAAAATGTATTGGAATACATAAGATAAAACTTGATTCTCTTATAACAGCAAGCTTCTCTCTCATTTATGAGTAATAATGAACACCCTTTTCTTTTAATAAGGAGTTCTTCCAATAGCAATGGCCTTCTGGAAGCAAGATGCTGGAATGCTGGATTTGTGCTGTGTGAGTGTGATTGGGGAGCATCCACCAACAGCATCCCATGTTCTTGAGTTGGAGGGCTTCACCTCTAGTGCTGGAAGGAAGCTGTCTCTCCTCCCAAAGTAAGTACCATCTAAAAAACTGGGTTTGGTTTCATTAGTATTGAGGGTGGACAAATAATAATGGCACCTTTAGGACCAAGAACACTCTTGGTTTCATCCTCGACGTGGTGCTGGCAGTTGACCCTAATTTTTAGCCTTGGCCAAAACACAGACTTGAGCTGATGACCTAGTTTAAGCTGACCTTGAAATATGCAACCACAGTGACCTCCAAGCAATTAATTATCTGACTCAGGTAGCTGGCCATCCATGGAACGTGATATAGGGGCGCTTTTGTTCTGCTCTGTTCAAGGACTGCTGCTGGAATTGCATTATTCCCTGTTCCTGCCAGCCTGTCTGATTCCCCAGGTATCTTTAGTTTTTTGAATCACTTTATTTAGCTTAAGTGGCTGATGTCTGGCTGGAGTGCACAGATATCTGTGTATGGTATCAGCAGTTACTGATTCATTCTTCTTAGAGCATCTTGTTTATTAATTATAGCCAACGCCAGTGTTTTTATACAGTCTGTATCTTCTTGATAAAAGCAGTGACTCACTGTAATTGGTCACTGCATGCAATAGAGTCTATTTTTGTGTAGTGCCCTCTCTGTTCAATGCAAAGCACGTGATCTGTGGAGGCACCATGGAGGAGAGAGCAACTGCCCATCTGCTGAGCAGTGAGAGGGGCTGAGGGCAGACAGGGCTGCAGGTGAGCTGCAGGCAGGGCAGAATGACGGAGCAAATTGAGGGACGTGTAGGAGGCGCAGGGGTTGGCAGGGCAAAGAGGACAGCAAGAGGTGAAACAGGAGGAGTGAGGGCAAGGTGAGTGTGTGCATGGAGTTGGTGGTGCTGCATTCCAAGCTCAGGTCTGGGGAGGACTTTCTGCATCCCTCTTGCTTTTACTGTGTCGCAGAAATCTGAGGTCTTCATTAAGCATCATTTATGTCCTTTATGGCCAAATGCTTTTAGCCTTGGCAGGCACCGAACAAAGCTGGTCTATTTGTAGGGATTTTATGGTTTTGCTGTTTCAGGAACTTCAGGTCTTTGGGGTGAAAGGGCCCTGTTCAGCCTCGCACACAAAGGGTTAAGTACTGCATTCTGCCTGACAGCCACCACATGCAGCTTTGACGTAGGTTTGTTTTTCATCTCAGAGAAGTGAAGTACTTCTGAAGAACTTCTCAGTAACTAGCAAAGGGCGTAAGCCAGGGTCTGTACATGTACTTTATTTGTAGATAAGCTAAAGGAAATTTGCAGAGGTGAGATAGTGTGGGATTGCCCAGCTTGTTGGTAGAATACTAAGAAGAATCCAGGCCAGAAATGGAACATCACAGGTTTATGGGGTCCATTCTTTTTGTACAACTCATGGCTCTTCCACAGTAAGTTTTGTTCTCAGTTGATTTTTAATTATTGACAACTCACAGCCGTGAGGACAGAAAGCCAGAAAGGCTCGTCCGCTGAGCAAAGTGTCGTGCGTGCAAAGTGATGGGGACTCACTGAGGTGAACAGTTAACAACAAACACATCAGAGCAGAGCACAGGAGCCCACGAACGCAGTAAATCTCCAGCTCTTAAGGAGCGCATTGCCGCCCTGTGCAGGGAGGAGCCGGGCTCTGCCTGAGCGCTCCGTAACGCAGAGAGAACAGCGCCCTCTGGCGGCCGTCGGCGGCACTGCAAACCCCGCCGGGCTGCGCGTAACCTCTCCTTTCCTACACAGAATTTGGATAGAAACCAGTGACTGCTCTCTCTCTCTTTTTTTTTTTTTTTAAATGCTTGTTTCTTTGTACAAAGTTAATAGAACGACTAAAACGCAGCGAGCTGTAGCAGAATACTTAGCCAGGAGAAGGGTGCTTGCTTGGGTGTTGAAGTTCCCTTTGAAAAAGATAGCTTCGAAAGCAAATGAGACTTTTTACAGATTCAGAGCTCTGTGAAACTTGCATCACTTTACCCAGCAACTTTGAATTGGACTGAGAAGGCGTTTCTCACTGTCAAAAGCCCTTTCAGATTTGTCATATTGAGGCTGGGAAAACTGTTTTTCCTTTTTTTACATGTGATGTCTGATATATTACAAATGTGCTTGTTCTTTTAGCTGAAAGATGATGACAGTTGTGCTACTGGAAGGGAGAGCTGGAAACACGCAGATGGAAGGTACAGGACAAGGCCAAAAACTGAGAAATTTTCTTTTTCACAATGGGGGACACAGCAGTGCAAGATAGTGAATATATGCAGCCACACATGTGCTGTGTTCCTGAATCCTTTGTATTCCTTGGTCAACAGAACAAATCACATTTGAGAAGCAGCATTCTAGGGGACTTGAAAAGGAGTTAATGATGTGTTTTCCTTGTTTAATGCCAGCTGTGGGGAGGTTCAGCCTTACCCTTTAAGGAAGAAAACTGCAGTGGTTTTCAATTCAATTCAGCCAAGGTAAGATGGTGCACCAGGTTTTATTTTACAGAAGAAGAGTCATTGCAAGGTGCTAAAATAATTGATGCAGCGGTGTATTTCAGTAGCAGTAAGAGTTTTAAGAGTACGAGAAATTAAATGAGCAAATGTGAATGACTGCGTGTGGCAATCCGCTGCTAATGGATTTCCATCCACTGCTGAAATGAATGGGCTGAGGAGAGGCCTAAAAGCAAATCTGTGAAAGTGCCACCTTGTTAAATTGCAGATTGGTAAAACAGCACTTCAGTTACAGCACGCAAAGGCTTGCCTAAATGCTTATACACTGCTTGATCTTCTTGGTGCTGAGGCTCAGAAAACAATATCTCAAATGTACCTGCAGTGGCACCAGGGCTTAACTGACCACAAAGTGGTAGCAATGTGGATGAATGAATCTCAGTGCCAATTTCTCAAACACGGGGCAGTTTTTAACCCAGCCTTCACAGCACACCTGCTGCTTAAAGGGATCCAAGTACACAGGCTGTGTGTGTGCACAGGCCTGGGCTTATGCAGTGCTCTTCTGTGTTGGAGGAAGTATTTATCTGAGAGAGCACCGCTATGAAAGGCACTGAGGGCTCACAGATGGCTGGCCTGAGCCCTCTTGTTCAGATCTCCCTCTTTGTAGATCTGAAAGGAAAAGAATTCTAAGAACTAAGGAGGCATATTGAGCAGACTGTTTTCTCTGGGAGATAAGGATGGCATAGGGATGCTTTGTGTGTTGTCATTGAAAACAGAAAGGGAGAGCAGTTGGAGTTAAGAGGTCCGAATATCGCCCATCCAGGGGCCTTGGAGGTCTCTTCTTCAGCCACGAGCAGAGCTAGTTGAAGCTCTGGGAGCAGTAGTAAAGTGAGAACATGCACAGTCTGTTGTTGCACTGCTTTGGCTGTCTTGAGGCTGGGATGGCAAGGAGAAATTGGTGCCAGCAGTGGGTCTGTGTTGGCTCCTGATGGACAGGAAAGGGGCAAGGAACAAGCTTTGCTGATGTTTAGCTGCACAGCGAAGAGGACAGTTGTGCTGAAGTGAGCTGGCATGATTATTGCAGTGACAGAGGGACTGCTGAGATGGGGCTGTCACGTGCAGGCCAGAGATGCAGGTTCTGTGCTCCCACTCCCATAGCCTGGCTCAGAGACCAGAAGATTGAGGGATTAATGGGGGTGGGGGTGCTGAATTTATTTTTTTATCTCCTCGTCCTGTTGTGCCTGTGCAGAAGTACCAGCCTTTTTTTTCCCCCTTTTTCTTTTCTTTTTGCTGGTGAAGCATTAACTGGGTGGGTTGCCATAGCAACCCCTGCATGATAAGTTGGGCTGCTTCTTGCAGCTCTCAAGATTTCTCAACATTCATTCCCCTTCACCACATCCCCTGAAGTGCTAAAATGGCCGAGGGCTTTGTGGCACTGAACATCCTTCGCCCTATGGGCTGTGCCTCTGCTCCAGCCTGCTCCCTGCAGGCATCAGAGCAAGGAGGAGAGGCTGTGCATCCTTAGAGTGGGTGGGTTATGAAGAATATGTGCTCTCCATCTCTCACGCAGCAAAGAAGCTTTCGGTACGACATCTCGTTTATTTGCAAGGTTTTCTGAAGGGGTCTGGGCAGCATTTATCATCTGTTCAAAACAGGCACGTGGAGATGTTGGTGTGCTTCCCAGCCAAGTCCAGCTCAGAGCAAGAATTAAAGGATCTCACCCTTTCATTCTGAAAACACACAGCATACCCAAATAGTCAGGGAACACGTTCTGGACCAAGAGCAAGCGCTGCAAATCATCTTTGCCCCATCTCTGCACGCATTCAGGGCCAGGCTGGATGTGGCTCTGGGCAGCCTGGTCTGGTGGTTGGCGACCCTGCACGTAGCAGGGGGTTGAAACTGGATGAGCACTGTGCTCCTTTTCATCCCAGGCTATTCTATGAGAATGCTTTGTCTGTAGTGCATGTCGAAGTGTGTTCTAGAGGGGGAGAGGATGTGATGTCTGCTTGCTTCTCTGCCCTGTGCCTTATCATGTTACAGTCCACCAAAACCCAAGCCCGGTTTCACCAGCGATTTTCTTCACCCCTGGGCCACATTTCCCATTTTTAAATAGTAATTAGAACTCCAGTCTGACCAGGATGAGTACTGTGTGCAGTGCTTCAGATTGGTACATAAATGATCCTGAGGGAAAACTCATTACTGCTGAAGGATGTTTGTTTGTTACTGTCATTTCAATTGGTTGTCAGATGACTTCTGGAGTGCCTGGGGTTAAAGGAGAAGAGGAAGAGCACCAAGACACCTGAGCGAGACTGTGCTGAGGATGAAGGGTCAATTAGTGGCTGCTGAGCAAATCATAGAGCTGCTGCATCCTTGTAATCCTATAGACTTGGACCCTCTCTGCCAATCCTGGCAGTGCTCTCCGGAATAGATGTAAGTAGAGCAGCACAGCACAATGCAGCTCTGCTGATCCGTGACCTGCAGCTCCTGGCAGTGCACCTGGCTGCCCGGGAACAGATGTGATTTCCACTGCACTTCATGAAACAGGTGCTTGTCAAATGAGATGGCTGTGAACATTGTTCAGTGCTTCCTGTGGCTATAAAAATACCCTTCACCAGCACTCAGGCTGGATTGTTCCGGAAAAGCTAGGAGCAAATCCTGTAGCTAAGCCTGCCTTTCCTTTTGTTGAGTTATGGAAACAGTGAGGGGCAATGGGAGGTGAGCATGTGGCTTTATGTATTATCATCTCTGGGTATTGGGGGTGCTATTTTTGCTTCCTTCAGGGAAAAGTTAAATATTCTGATTCAGACATTCACGACGGATGGCTTTTAAGGGAGAAAGTGGAAGGGTGTTGCTGACATCTGGTCTCTGCTCCTGGCTCCTGGAGATATATAGGTGTCTTCTTTGGGAAGTTTGATGGTAGCATGGTGGATAAAGCTGGAGAACCCCACGGGCAGAGGAGATAGAAGCTGCCATGGCTTTGGTCAGCCACTGCTGCAATATTTCAGGGCTGCAAAGGTTTCAGGGGTCACAGCCTCTGCTACAAACAGTTGGATGATGTTTAGGAAGGGCATTCACTGTCTTTGTTCTGTGCTTTGCTTATGCAGCGTAGGGACCAGATTGCATGTATGTGCCCTCAGGACCAAGCTGCAGAGCTGGGAAGGTCCAGACTCAGCAGTGTAGTGCCCTGCTGGGGAGCCCACATCCAGCCAGAGGGCTGAAGCCAATGCTTTCAGATGGCTGCTGTTTTCTGTTGGGTGGTTCTCATCTGTCCAACACGCACGTCTGGGTTTTGGCACAGGGAGTTGCTCCCATGTCATTGTCTGATGGAATTGGCCAGGTTTCATTCAATAGATTGCGCTGTGCATTGAGCTGCCATCAGCACAGATGCTTTGTGAAGAGGGAGCCCATTTAACGAGCGCTTCGTTTCTCCCTCTCTGCCCACTGTGACCTTCAGAGTTGGAGCCTTTCTGGGTGCTGTGGCTCCAGTCCAAGCAGAGAAAGCCCAGCCTGCTGCTGGCACTGAGCTCCTGGGAGTCGGACTGGAACACGAGGAGAGGATTTCCCAGTATTTCCAGACGTGACCTTCAGAGCCATACAAATGCTAGTATTAAACTCATTACAGGCGAAGCCCTCCCGGTGACCTCGCACGGATAACTCTCCCCCTGCTCTTTATCTGGCTTTATTTCCGAGACAGATAAACGATGCTAATAACCCCTCTCCAGCCAAAAGGGAAAAAGAGCACGGCCCCCTCCCCTGACTCCAACAGAACCCAGCAAGGAAACCTCGAGCTGCATCTCCACAACCGGGAGGAGCCCCGCGTTGGGGTTGGGGCCGGCGGTGAGGGAGGGCCCGCGCATGCCTGCCGTGAGCCGGGCCCCCCGCCCGGGCGAGGCTGAGCTCCGCGCAGCCGTTGCCGACCGTGGGGTTGCCGAGAGCCGGCGGAGCGCGGCTCGCTTTCTCCCGCAGCCACCTGCTGCTCCCGGAGCCGCCCCGCCTCGCCCCGGCCCTGTCCGTGGTGCTGCCGCCGGAGCGCGGATCCTCGGAGCATCCTGTTGCGTTGTACGGGAGGAGCTGAGCCCGAGGGATGATGAGCTCCTCGCTCGGAACAATGGCTGCGCTGCCGAGGCTGCTCTGCGCTTCTTCGGCCGCTTTGGTCGTTTGGGGTAAGTGCTTCCATTGCCTGTTGTGTTTAGGAGGGTTCTTTCTCCCCACGCTGCGCGCTCGTAGGATGCTCTTTTCTCACGGGGTTCCTTTCAGGCTGTCACAAAAGCTTTGGAGCGGCTTTTTGTTTTGTTTGTGAGAACAGAAGGAAATAACATCGGTGCGGAGTTAATAGCAACCTAGTGGAATTAATATGAGCAGAGAAATGTAACATTGCTGAGCGGACTTCTGGCAGAAAGCGTGCGCTTGCACACGCCTGCAAGTTCCTCGCTGTTTCCTGTTTGCTTTTGTTGTAAAATTTGCAGTGTAATTTAATGTGCAGTTTCCACAGAGAGGCCACATGAACCCATATGCAGCGCTGCTTTTCTGTGCGGGCAGCGTAACCTGAAGGAAACGTTTGGGTTTTATTGCCATTTTATCTGCAGTCGGAAGATACGCCGTTAGTTTTGCTAACACAGCTCGGTTTAACGTGCATGGATACCTACAGCTCTGTTTGCATGTGTGTGTTTAATGTAACTGGAGTAGAGCACGAGCCAGTAGTCGTTTCTTTATTTCTCCCTGAAAACTGTTGCTATCCATAGAGGCGATGTGGGAGAAAAGGAACCGTTTCCAGGATAGGTCCCAGGAAAATACAGGGCATGAGAGTGAGGGTTAATGGAATCTCAGAGGCTTGGGGAGGAGGGAGCAGCAGCAAAGTCAGCATCTCCACTGAGCTGCACTCAGAGACAGGGTGGGACAGACGGAACCCAGCATTGTTTAGCCCAGGGGACAAATGTCAGCAGAGATTTAGTCTTGAGATGTCGCGCTGGAGCATTGGGTTTCATATCAAGCATTTGCCTTCACAGACTGTGATTTTTGTCTCGTTTGAGAGAACTGTATTTTATAGCTGCCCATGTTTGCACAAATCTGATTGGAAGCGTTCTAAAGCGGAGTGCACGTAAAATCAATAACTCCCCCAGCTGCCAAATGCACTCAGGTCCAAGCCCTTGATTTCCAGGACTGCTTACGAAACCTAGAAACAGGAAGCATGGAGAATCTTAACCCTTTATTTTGAGCGGGCTGCCAGATGAAAACATCCACCTTTCAACTCGCACAAAGAGCGAGCTGTGCCTCCATGCTTGAATTCTGGGCTTTCTCTCATTCCAGCCTCTAATTGCTGCTGGAACGGGAGCATGCTCAGCATGTGGGAGAAAGAATGAGCCATGCCTTCAAAACAGCATCAATTACTAGGGGAAAAATTAAAAGTTGTAACAAAGCAGATGCTGGAGAGGTGAAGCTGTGTGAATTGATCACCTTCTGTTAATTATGAAGCACTGTTTATATCTCAGAGAAGGAAGAGAAGCAGAGGGTGCTAGTAATGAATCAAAGGGTTTTCCACTATGTGCATGGATAAGTGCTGTCTCTGTGTTTCTCTCCCATATCTTTGCTCACTTTTCTTCCACTGCTTTTTTCCTAGCTGGTTTTTGTTCTGCAGTATGTGTTGAAGTTCCATCAGAGACAGAGGCAGTCCAGGGGACAGACATGAAGCTGCTCTGCATCTCCTGCATGAAGAGGGAAGAGGTCACAGCCAGCACAGTGGTGGAATGGTTCTACAGGCCGGAGGGTGGCAAAGATGAACCCGTATGTATGTTTGGGTAGCTGAGCCCTTGCTTTGGTGGGCCATGTTGTTGGTCCAGAGAACTCATGGGAGAAGCCAAAAGATTTAATATGAAGAGTGTGAGTTTGTCTTGCCACAGATCTGTGATGAAGAGATCCAGACATGAAGACAAGGTTTATGCCATGTTTTCATTCAAAGTCTGTAGGAATGCCCAGCAGGCTGCTTTAATATCATGGAGGAGAGATGAGCTGGTAGCTAAATTCAGCTGCAAACCCTAGATCTTCAGTTTGTATAGTATTTTTACCTAAAGGTTCTATAACACTGCTGCTGAGCAGTAACTAAAGCATCTTTTCCTTGCTGAGCTGATGAGCTGAGCTGATTAGCACACAGCAGGTACCCATGGCAGGAAAAGCTGGAGTCTGTTGGTGAGTTCAGACATTTTGGGTTGCATGTACATGAATGTCAATTTCTAGTTTCTTTCTTTAAATGTCTGTCATCCAGTATACAAGGGAATTGAGAAAGAAAAGACAGAAGCATGGAATGACACCAGCCATACTGGCCAACTGTTATTTCTTGGGATGCTTCTGAATTCTGAAACTGTTCTTTGGAGGTTAAATCAGGCTCTGCTAAATCTGTAGGACAGAACTTAATTCTTTTTTGCCACAAAGAAGCCAATGGTGTGCTGACTGTGGGAGGATCTGTGCGAGTTGCTTTTGGATTCCTGTCAGGAAAAGGTAAAATTAGTTTTCAGGGTGAATTAAAATGGGAGCCTTACAAGAATGGTTAATCTGAGAATAAGGTTTCAGTAGCTATTTTATCCAAGCGTGAAGAATTAGATCTGTGCCTTCATTTCATCATGATTAGGCAAGACAGCAAATAATCTCCTACTCTGAGAACGAAAGGAACCATACAAGGGAATGAGATGGGTGAGACCTGCTAGCAGCAGCCCAAAGGTTGGCCATGAGGGTGAGCTGGGCAGGCAGTGTGATGGCTGTGGCCAGCCAGAAACTTGCCACTGCCCGGGCTTGTGAAAGCCACCCAAGGTCTGTGCTTCTGATGCTGTTCTCACACTGTTGTCCTTCTTTTACAACACCTCTACGTTAGCTGATTATCTCAGGGCTTACAGAAAAGGACTTTTTGTCTTGGCTGTGTTGTTTTCTGTGGTGCCTTCTGAAGATGACCCAGTGACTGACAGGCCAGTCACTAAGGCTACAGCATCCTAATTTTAGTTCAGTTGCTGATTTTTTTGTGTGTGTCATTGTCCATATGTCTCTCTACTGTTCTCTGCCTCTGTTTTTTTTACTTCCATGATGGAAATAATTCAGTTTTCTCTCTTTGGTAAAGCAGGCTGAGATTGTGAGGTAAGGGATAACAAAGTATTATGTTGATGCCAGGAAGGCCATATCCCAGAAAATGAAGTATGCAGCCAGAGGAGAGCAGAGTTCCTTGGATATGCTGTGTTGTTGTCTGAAATTGAAGTCAGCTGTTAATCAGAATATCCCTTCGTGTTCCTTCACAGATCTACGAGCACAGGAAAATGAATCACGAGTTTCCAAGCCGCTTCAGTGGTCGGATACAATGGAATGGAAGTAAAGACATGCAGGATGTATCCATCACTGTGTTAAATGTCACCTTGAATGATTCGGGTATCTACACCTGTAATATCACCCGGGAGTTTGAGTTTGAGATTCACCGGCCTCTCTTCACAAGCTCCAGATTGATCCACCTTACCGTGGTGGAGGAGGGTATGGAGGACTGGCAGAAATTGTGTAGTGTCCTAACTGGCCGTGGGTGTTTTACACAGGGACAGAATTTCTATTGCGTTGTAGGAGGGAGATGACTGAGCTGCCAGACAGTCGTGTCAAGCAGAGGTTTCCACTTTATCTGGTCGGAACCCTCACCTCTCCCCTGGTGGCTCAGGGATGCTACAGCACAGATTTTGCCTGGCTGCCCACAGCTGCTCCCTCCTCACTTCCTCCCCCTCCCTCTCTGAACTCATTCTCCATTTTGATTTCAGTCTCTTGCATCCTCCTTTCCTTTGTACTGCTCTTCTGTCTTACTGTTATTCTTGTTTTTGCCCAGTTCTGTGCTGAGATCCTGGCTGTAGAAATCCTGCTGTCCACTCCAGAGTGGGACAGGTTTTACCCCCATCTTTTTATTTTGTGCCTTCCCTTCCTTTCTTCCCTGCCTGTTTTGATCTCTCTCCAAATCAGTGTTGGCACAGCATGCTCAAACAACTGCAGCAAGTAAGACACGTGAAGGAAAGGGTATGTGCAGCTGAGATAGGCTCATGGTGAGCAGTCTGTATGAATGTGTAGGTTGCAGAGAACACAAGACACAGGCAAGCCTATGCATCTTTGCTACCAGTGGAAACATACCCTGAAATTGCTGCTGGCGTGTTTTATTGGCAGCCTTACCTGTTTCTTGTCTTTTGACCCCTCACAGAGTAGTGGCAGTTGGGACTGTGTGATAAAGTGGGTTAGGAAAGAGGAGACGAGGGTGGGAAGGTCTGAATGGAGCTGCTGTGCTCCAGCAGCTGTATGTAAATGACCAGAGACGATTTCATTTTCTTAACAGCTGGAGAAGACTTCACCTCAGTCATCTCTGAAATCATGATGTACATTCTGCTGGTCTTCCTCACCTTGTGGCTACTGATAGAAATGGTCTATTGCTACAGGAAAGTCTCTAAGGCAGAGGAGGCTGCCCAGGAAAATGCGTAAGTGTGAAATCTCTCCAGATGTCAGCTGTTCTACGAGGGGTCCTTCAGATGTCTCAGTCCAGGTCAGATTGCAAGAAGGCTGAACTTTGCTGTTGCACATTTCTAGCTGAGGTTTGCTTTGTGTGAAATCATTGCACTGGACGGGAGTACCCAAAGAGTGCACTGGCAAGGGAGGGATGATGCACATGGTAGGGAGGGTGGCCAAGGTGGGCAGGATTCCAAGGTGGCCCAATTTGAACCACGTGGAAATGCTCTCCTGGAAGGCCCACTTCTAGAGATCTGACTCACGAGTCTATAGCCTATACTGTGATAAAGCAGTAGAAGAGGGTAATTCTGGCAGTTGACAGAGCAGCAATGTTCCAGTTTTTACGCTGGCCCATTCCAATCTTTTTTTACGTTCTCAGCTTAAGTAACAGTGATGTAAAAGCTGTATGCATAGGGTTTTACAGCAGGTAAGGCTCAGCATCTGCTTCTGGTTATGCCAAGGATCTTCTATGAATGATATTTGTTACCTTAGAGATCCTTCAGGGAATTCAACATCTCTGAAAGAGTGAAAGGACTTGAGCTACACACTTCAGGTTATGCTTTCATCTTTTTTTCCAACTGCAGGACAGACTACCTTGCAATTCCATCAGAAAACAAGGAAAACTGTGCCGTGCCTGTAGAGGAATAACAGAGAGGTATCTGCAGAGTGCACAGCACCAAGGTAAGTGATGAGGGAGCAGTGAATTGCTGCTTGTGCCTGTCCACGCTTCAGCCTTACTGCTGTGGGTTAGGATTGCGTGGTGCTGGAAAGATGGCACAGGAGAGATTCCTGGAGGTTTTGCCCCATGTCTGGAGCTTCCATAGTGACCTCAGAAGTAATTTAGGTATCACTGAATGGTGGCATTCAGGCCGTGATTTAATTACTACTCCTTTACCTAATCCTCTGGAGTTGGAAATAGTGACTGTCCCCTGCAGACAGGGAGCTGTGCAGGAGGATTGACACTATCTCCAGAGGAAACAGCTGCTGTGGGAGGGCTTTGTGTGCAGAAGACTGGAATCTAGATCCCTGGAAGTCTCGTTCGTGTCCCTTCAGGCATTGTGCTGATTGTGGCATGACCCTTACTTGAGTACATTCCAATGACTTGCACCCCATGGGGAATTCTCTCACTTGCAGGGGCTCTGAAGACAGAAGGATCACGTCATGCCAGCCAGGTTTGAGGGGGAGCTCTGCGCCATCAGGAGGAAATACGGGGAAGTGTAAATTCTCTTCCATTTGCCTTGGACTCTGTACAGCCTTGACTTTGGCCTCATGACTCCATTCTGAGCTGCCAGCCCATTTGTTACAGGACTCTCCTTTTGAAGCATGCTGAGCAAAGGGCACAGGGGGTGTGGGCAGCACGGCTCCTTCCCAAGTTTCAGTTCCATCATCACGTTAATGGCTTTGTAACTGTTAATGTCATTTCTTAGCTGCTATCACCACCACCTTTATTTGCAAAATATGCTAGTTCTCCATTGCAGACATAAAGGGTATGTGTATTGTTACTCTGACCTGCAGGACTGGGAATATCTTCATCTTAAGGTGATGATGTTCCACCACAGCCCAGGATGTGACTATAGGTGTTAAACAGGAAGAGTTTAATTAGTGTAGTTGTTGCTCAGTAAGTTCCTTTGGACTTTGGGCTGCCAGGGTAGATGCAGAGTAGCATGAGAACTAAAAAATGCATTCAAACAGATAAAAATGTGTAGTAGAAAGATGAGTCCCTGTGCTATGGTCACACCTGCTTCTGAAGGAGGGAGCTGAGAATATAAATCATGAAGTACTCCTAATTTGGGAGGCTGCATAACGTAAGTATAAGAATCCCCTGTCCCATCCCTTTCACTTAGCAAGAGTTGAAATTCTTAGTTCCTTCCATTTGCCTTGTGCAGCAGGTTTACTCCTCCAGCATACAGAGACACAGTGATAGGAATAACCTGTGGAGCCGTGTTCAGCAACCACAGGGGAGCCAGTAAGACAAGGTATGCCTTTAACATATTTCTGGGGGATGCTCTGAAAGGAAGAACAGGCAAGGAAAGTAACTGGGATGCATAGCCCTCTGAGTGGGACACGGCTTTGTAAAATAATCCTTGCAATTGTGATGGTCGTCTTATACTGTATTGCAGCACCACCCAGAGGAATAGAAAGAAAATGCTTATTTTTCCCTAGTCTGCAGTAATTCTGTTTTGTGATTAGTCACCGATTTGAGTAGTCAGTATTCATTGTAAATGACACATTTCTGCACAGGAAATACCCTGTAAATTCAATGGCACCTATGCAAATTTACCTTCTCAATCTTAGTGGCTTAAGCAGAGTGCAATTAGTTTGCTGGCTTCGAGTGTAAATCAGTTGGGCACAACCACCAGGATTATGAGGAAAAAAACAGGCAGAAATATTGACCAGGGTAAAGTTGTACTTTAGGATGAAGTGGGGAAAGATTGAGGGGGTTTTTTTCGTATGGGAGATGTTGTTACATCCCTGCTGCAATGGAGCCTTTATTGCTTGCAAGAGCTGACAAATTTTGCTACACCGACTGCTTCTAAGTACTCTGAAGTGCTTGTGAATCTCAAGGCATGCTCTGTACATATGGGATTTCCCCTGCTTATGTTCTGCTGCAGTTTGTGTTGCTAAAAACCATAGAAATGTCTCCATTTGTAAGTCAGGTCCAGGCCAGATTTCTAACTGGCTGTTGTTCAAAATTCCTTTTTTAAGAGCAAGTTTCAACTTTAGCCAGCTGTTACAATGCAGTTCACAGAGCTGAGTCTGGCAACCTGAGCACGTTTTGCAGCTGAATCACGCTTGTAGTCTGGGCACCTTGAACTTTAATACCCCCAAATGCCTCCTCTTCTCATTCTGCTGGGTGTCTTCATTTTCCCTAGGCCATCTTGCCTGGCCTCAGGGCATTTGGGGGCATAATTCTAACTCTAGATCCACAGAAACAGAGGAGCTGGCCCTGCAGTTTCCGTCGCTGATCATGGCACTAACACCCAGGGTGATTTTTAGGTAAGGCCATTAAACCCCTCTCCCACTTCAGCCGTGTTCCTCCCAGCCCTTGTGAAGTGCTGATAACCTTCTGATGGTACAACGTTGTGCCAAAAGAAAACCAAAAAACAAGGAGTAAACAGTTTGTTGAGAGCTACCTCGGGTGGTAAGGGAGGGCTGTCCTGTAGTCCTGCACCTTGTGCTATTTTACACACATCTTCTTTAGATGCTTTTTTGGACACATCTTTCACTTTTCCAATTCCTGCATCTGACTATTGCCCTGTGTTGTCCTAGATGGGAAAATGGTGTCTAAATTTTGCTCAGGATTCCAACGGTGAAAAAAAAAAGGTTGGTTTATTTCAAGGGCAGCATTAAAGGCAGGTTGTGTCCTGGGAGACACGGTCCTGGTTGGGATCTGAAGAGACCTTCTCTGTGTATCTGGAAATGATAGAAAAGCCTAGAAGCAGGCAGGACAATAAAAAGAACAAAGCACTCACAAGTCACACTGTGGTTTGATAGACTTTTTTGTTTAATTTATACCGTACTTCCATTGTTCTAGCTACTTACATGGAGTTTTGGCTGCATAGCCTTTACAGTTCCTAGGTTCTAGCAGGTAAGTTTCATCATCATTTTCTCGCGTTTTGCGCACAGCGCAAACCTGATGACAGTTAAACAACTCCTAAAACAAAACCACGGGTCCTCCCCCGGCCCACCCTGAAGTTCACATCACTGCTGCAGGCTGTGGCCAACAGCCTCTGCTTCCCGGGTGCTGATATCCAGAAGGGAAGCGCACACCCATGGGTGTCGGTGTGACCGTTCCCTCGCCTCGCTGACATGAGGAGATCCTCATTCATCTGCCATTAGGGCAGCAATTGGGGGTTGCAGGATCTGGGGCTCAGGTGGGCAGAACACACTCCAGGGTGTTTAGCAGCTTTACCCAGCCCTGGAGCGTGTGATGAGATGAACTGCTGTGAGAGTGACGACGTCCCAGAGGTGCCACAGCCACACAGTGCCAGTCCTGGTGGTCAGAGATGTACGCTGCGATGATTCTGCTGCTCCTCCCTCTGCTCTGAGCTCGTCGGGCCAAGAGCCAGGTTAGTGCTGCTGTATCTGCTCTGCTAAGTGCTATTTCAAGGGAAGTGGGCTTGCAAAGACTGGAATGCACGTGTGTGGCACAGGCTCCACCTCTTTGCTGGGTAGAGCTGTTTTGCAACAGCCGTTCTCCCACCTCCTAATGCTGCTGGGGCAATTTGGGCCGAGACTGAGACACGACCAAGCAGCTGTAGAACCTGAGCTGCACATTTGTTTTATTCCCTACCGATTCTTGGAGTTTGGGTTGGGGAAGGGTGGCCATTTAACGTTAGCAATGGAATTGGCCTACATGAGTGAGGTAACAGAAACGGCCAGAGGAGGTTACCTCCCTGAGCCATGTGCAAATATCACTCCTTCCACAGAAGGAAGTCTTTTCCCTACTGAAAAATAAAATAAGGAAACAAACAAAACACATTCGCTTAAAGGGCAAACAGACAGCATCAAGGGAAGGCAAGCAGGGACAGCACCAGGTCAGTCCATCCATGACAAAGGGAATGATTGTCTGGCAGCAGAGGTGTGTGGGGAGAGGGAAAAGCCATAGCAAGTGCTGCGAAAGGTGTGGGAGAGGGAAGCATGGCACACCAGGATCCATGCAGAGGTTGAAGCCCATGCTGTCTGGCTAGGTCAGGGAATAATCTCAGTCGGCAGTCAGTAAAGACATGAGGATATTATTTGGCCAGTGTGCACATCTAAAAAAGAAAGGTATTATGGCACAAAGAGACTCGTGCAGGGGAGGGTGCAAAGCACAGAGATCAGAGCATGCCAGGCAGAGGGAACGGGCCAAAAAGGCAGCACAGTTACACCTCAGCAACTACGCTGACACGAATGTTTTGCAAGCTACTTACCTCGGGTGCTTTGGTTTAAGAGTCTCTGTTTTGAGTATTGTTTTTAAGCAAGCCCCTGCTGGATATTTAAACTAGTGCTGAGACTGAAAAGACCAAGCCAGAATCTACACGACCCCACCACAAAACCTCTCAATGGCAGCAGACCCTGTGAGCACATACCTCAAAGTTTTGCCAACACAGTTCTGCCAGCTGCCCTGAGAAACATGACAGAATTGCCCCTCCTGCCCCGAGCCAGCAGTGCTGCGAGCACCAAGCACTGCAGCTTCAGCTCTGTGCCACTTTCAGCATTCTGTGGAACCAGAAATTTATAGCTTTTAAATTAGAAAGTCATCAGCCTGCTGTTCTGGTTGGGAAAAGGAAACTTAGAGCTGCCTGGTTGTATGCTGGAAAATGGTTAGTTTGGTACGTACCTCACCTGGGAGCAAGCATGGGAATGCAGCTAGGGATGTTCTTACAGAGAAGAAGAGCATGGCCTCTTCACAGTGGTAGCAGAGTAGGACTCAGCATGTTAGTTAGCCACATGGTAAGAAGGAATACCTACTGGGGTCAGAGCCTCTTCCCAGGTCACTGCAATAGACCTGGAGGCCAGCATTCACAGAGGGGTTTGTATACGTGTGAACTCGCATTCTAACTTGATGTAAATCAACTCTATGTAAATGAACCCAAGAGGAAGAAGAGTCCCAAAAGTTTTCCCACTCTTGAGTAGTATGGAGAGAACCACCTGAGCCTGGAGCTCTTTCCTGGTGCTGGGGGGGGGGGGTACAAGCTGCAGGCTGCTCTGTCTCCTCTATACAGGTGCTTCTGAAATACAGATCTGAGAAGGGAAAGCTAGCAGGAAAGGAAGAGGGATAAAGGCCATGTGACAAGGAAGGGCTGCACTCAGCACAGCCTGCACATATGCACTTCTGAGTAGCACTTCTTACATGCAGCCAAAATATGAGGCTTGCAGATGTTTCTTCTACTCAGCTTTAGTGTATTGCAGGCCTACCTGTCACAGAAATCATTGCAGAGCATATCCAAAAGGTCTCATCTTGAGTACTGGCACTGTGTTCCCAGTTGTGAACTTTCTACTGGCTCCTATGAAGGTGGGAAAAAGCATATATGGGTAGGCTACATAGTTTTGTGCTGAGGGGATGAGCAGGCTGAAGTCTGTCCCCATCTACATCCAGGTGAGCTCCTGAAACAAATGGTCTGTCTGATGGGGAAAGTGCTCAAATCCACCTTGAGCTCATCCCAGATGCCATAATCCAAACATTTCCTTTTAGGTAATCATTTAAAGGTATGTGTTTATTAAAATCCTATCAAGCTAGGATTAGTGATGTATTCTCCTACAGAAGCAGGTGACATAGACAAACTGGCAAGTAGAGCTTCGTCATCTCCCTCCTGCTGCTAGGTAGCATCTTACTTGGCACAAATCAGGCCACTCTGTTGGCATGAATGCTCACATTTGGCTGGAGCCATGTTTCTTTGACAGTCTCTTTTGTAGCTGCCAAAATTCAGCACATCCAAACCAGCTCCACTTGCTGGACAGATTATTTATGTCAAACATGTTAAACTCAGTTTAATCTGCAGGTAAAATGAACAGTAGTGCTAATGAACAGCTGCCTGTGTGTAACATTAATTTGTCTCCAAGCCCAAGGAATCTGTACCAGTGGGAACAGCCAGAATCACCGCGGTCTGCGGAGATGCTGCAGAGAAAGGAGGATGCACCAATGAGCAAAGGGATTTCTTGCCTCCATAACTAGCAAGAGAATGTCAGATTTGGTAAGCAGGCAACTCTAGCTACTGGCATTTATTTTGGACCCTTTCTGTCCTCTGCTGGGTTATGTTTGTGTACGTACAGAAGTTTGCTGACCATGCTGCCGAGACCCCCATTCCAGGTTTCTTTCTCTTGCGTTTTCTTTTCTGGCTAGGCAGCAAACACAGGCCTTCCTCTCTCTTTATTTTTTCCTACCCTATGGAATTAAATACTAAAAGAGGGCAAGATGGGCTGCAAAGCATTTTTCTGTGCTTTGGCAACTGGTGAAGGAGCATCTCAGCCAGTGTGGCAAGGCAGCAGCAGGGAACTGGGGCCCCCTGGTTCCAAGGTGAAGAGCAGCAGGATGCCCTTCTCAGGCTCTAGCAGCTCAGATTCATTGTATAGCAGCCATTTCAGCAGCATCCCTGGAAAAAGTCAGGGAGCATCACAGTAGTCAGCAGCATGAAATGAAACAGTCATAAATGCAAGTTACTCCCTAGTTCTCGAGGCATTGCCAATTGTACCTTGCTTTCACAGTCTTTTAAGTGCATTCAATAACCTGTTTGTCAGTCTTCTTCTCTAGCTCATACTGTGTCTAGTGTTTGGTCATTAAATTATTAGGCAGGCTGGGAGAAATCAGCACGTTACTTCTAACAGTGGTACCTTGCCATTGGTTGGGCTCCATATGCTGAAGCTTGTGAGGGTTTTCCCCAGCTGTGTGGATTTGTGTTCCTGCTGTATGAAGATGCAAAAAACACTCACCTTTGTCCCCTGCTCTTTCAGTGCCAATTAGAGCTAGAGACCAACAGACACATGAGACCTGCACCATTTCTTGTGGGGAACACACAGCTGACTCCTCCCTGCCATCTAGGAGGTGGACATGGCCTGGTTCTGAACAGAGGTTCTGGACAAAGATGGAGACTTGAGCACATCACCTAACCTACCGGGCTGGGTAAGATGAGAAGGCATTTATTAATTGCTTACTCCTGCAGCCCCCATCCTACCCAGAGCACAGTCCCTCTCCCCTCATGTAGCTAGTAATAGGGCATTTCTCCAGATTCCTAGGAGAAGTAAAAATGCATACTATTTTTTTTAATGCAGGTCTGCCACCTGACTTGCTTAGAGAGCCAAGGCAGTGCTGTCTAGCTTAGGAGAGATCCCAGTCACTACCTTGCACTGTGGGTATCACCCATGTCTATCCCACACTCCTTAGCTGGACTTTTTCTTTTTTATTCCCTGGGGCCCTTCCTTATCTCTCCTAGGCTGACGGAGGCCCTGCAGCTGTAGATGCAGGCATGTAAGTATCAAAAGCAAAGATATCCTTTTTGCTGTCACCGCTGAAGGAAAAGAATTTGTTTCCTACATAGCTCAGAAGAAAAGATGAGAGCTAAGAGGTATGAGCAAAAGGATCTCGCAGACCAGGGATGAGAGGTAAATCTACCAAGCAGGACAGCAAGAACAGTTCTGCTGCTTCCTTAGCTCTCCCACTCCATGTTGTGCTAATAGCACACAGCTTGGCAGGAAGGAGTGCTCACATATAAATACTCATTTTGGTTTTCTTTTGGAGTTGGGGCACTCTCCCCGTTGTGAGAAGTCCCACAGGCAGCCCTTATCAGCACCAATGTAGATCTTCAGCACAGGGATGGCTTAATGGCAGGGGCCCAAGCACACAGAAAGCAGAGAACCACAGCAAAAGTAAAGGGGACACTGTCAAAAGAAATGGAAGTGTGCTTTCTGCAGTGTGGCTCTCCTTCCTCCAAGCACCATGTGGGCAGATACTCCTGCTCCCTGCCCTCTCCTTGGCTGTTAATGCACTATCAATTACAGGAGGAGGCAAACTAAGTGTTTGGAGAAAGCATTTCATGCTCATTTACATTCTGTGCTTTGCTCTCTGAACCAGGCTGGCCAGCGTGGCAGCAAATTGCATTTCTGCTCCAAGAGACGTAGAAGATGATTGCCAGGGAGACCCGCTCTCCACAGACCTACAGCAATTCCTCTGGAGGCCTCCTCTCCAAATGGGGGATCATTTTGTAAGGGATCGACGGTGATTGCCAAAACCTCTCTGCCCTGAAGCCAGCAAGGTAAGAAAGTTGACAGTGTTCCCTTTATATGTGTAGATACAGATCGTCAGTCAGGGACCTTCATGCACAGGGAGGGGAGGGGCATTCACTCTGATGCTTCCCTTTGAAACGACAGAAACGAAACAGACAGACAAACAGCCAGGAATATTACAGAACAGTGGTGCAAACAGGCCCAGGGTAGCACACTTGGGTGCATCCCTAAGTGCACCTCAGTGCCAGGAGAGCACAGCCCTCCCATACACACACACACACGCACACACACACACCCTCACTACCACTGAGACTCTCCATTTCAGCCAGTGTTGGAGGTCAGTCCTTCCTCTCGGTATGTAGGCTTTTTTTTTTTTTTTCCTCTTAAAATCTGTATATAATATATATATTTATATTCTGTATATATATTTATATATATATATATTTATATATCCTATTTACACATATTGCACACCGTCCTCTGGCCTCCTGCATTCCTGCCTGTTAGTGGAAACGTTTCCGTTTCTCCTCTGGATCTGACCCGAAGTCCTGGGACCCGATGCCATTCTGGAGATTTATTAGTGAATCCTTCATCTGCAAGACAAGAAACGTCTCCAATGTGCTACCCTGAAGGTGACAGCACTTTGGGATTTCCTTCCTCATCAGCGCCTCCTCCATCCATGTAAGTATTGATACCATAAACATCTGTTTTTTGGGACTTGTGTAGCAGGGCTGGGCAACCAACAGGGCAATCAGGAGATGGGAGCCAGTGAGCTAACAAATAAGGGTCGAGCAGAGTGATGCACAGGCTAACAGGCACTCACCTTAGGGAACAGCAGCTTCTTTCATTTATGAACACCATTCCAAGCTGCCTGGTGTCTTAGCTGTTCTTGAGGGAATGGGTTCTAAAATGGCTGCATCTGTGCTGTGAAGGGCCTGTGCCTTTGTCCCTGTAAGCTACATAACGACCTCAGAGTCAAGGAGAAAAATTCTGCATTGCAAACAGTGTGCCAAGGTCTTTATAGCACCCTCTCAGATGCCAGAGACTAGATACAAGCTGTGTTGTCTAATATAAGGCTTTGGCCTTGCAGGATGTTCTCCTTGACTTGTCTGGATGCCTGTGAGATGATAGAGAACCCATCTGAACAGCCCTTGGGACTTCCTGCCCAACCCAGTGTCAGAAGACTGACTTAAAGGGAGATGGGACAGAGGCAATGCACCTGTTGGGCTGCAGTGGTCCATGTAATGCTGAGGGATTGCAGGTGATGGTCTGGGAGGACATGGTGACTGTCTACTCACAGTGCTGCTGGGATGTGTGGTCTCACCTGGTCTAGAAGCATCACAGAGGATTTGATGATCTCACGCCATTTTTGTAGCTCTGAATCGTGATACTTCTGCTGAGATTCTAGTAACTGGGCCCATTCTGTCTGTGACTGGGGTAACCTGCCAAGCAGAATAGGAGCAGGAGTGAATCTGGGGAAACTACTTAGGCAAGGATGAGCAAAGTGGACCAGCAGGTGAAGGGGTGGTAGATAGCATCAGTGTCTGTTAAATCCTCACACCTGAAAGAAGTAAATTCTCTTAACATTTGCCTATCACTGTTACCTTAACTGTGGTAATTAGGAGCAAAGATGTCTTTTGCAGAAGAGCTGTAGTGTGTTGGAGCCAAATGCCTACGTGCCAGGGGGGCAGTGTGCTGTCACTGCCTGGGAGATGAGTACAGCAGGACGTAGCACCATGACACTGATGGGGAATGTAATGTAACACAGCTGGACAGGTGATCCTGAACAGTTTCCATATTTTGGGGGGTGTTTTTTTTTCCTGCTGTGTGAGTCTTAATGCCAGATATTCTTTACCTCTTAATTACTGTCTCCTCTTTTCAGGCCTAATCAATCCTCCAGATGCAAGCACTCAAGCTACTGATAAGAAGATCCCCAGGACTGGCTGCCCTGAGATGCAATTCAGGGGCTCAAGCAGGTGCAAGCAGTGTGCCTGGATAGCAGGTGGAGTTTGCCTGGGCTAAGGTGAGGATAAATCTCCATGGAGCATAAAGATGTGAGGAGGAGCAGAGTCAAGACAGTTGCAGGAAGACTTCAGGGCATATCAGGGCCCTTTTTGCACACTTTTCCCTGGAGAGGTACTTTGTTTTTGTATGCCCTCATCTAACTCTATTGCTTTGTCTTGGGCCTCACTGGTTTCTAAAGGTAGGTAAGCTTGTAGATAAGCTTTTGTCTTCTGCTGGGTGTCTCTTCTTTATTCTCTTGGGCTTTGCTTGTCTGTAAAACAACTAAATCATTGCTTTGTCTTCAACTTACCTCTTAGAATCCCTCCTCTCTTAGCTATTGCCTGTCTTATACCTCTTAAGCTTTACAGGATGTAGTGGAGATTTTCATGTGTCCTCCCTGGAAACTGAGTGGATAGCCTTGCTATGGCTATAACCTCTCAGATATGTTTGTTCTTTCTCCTAGTGCTATAATTTAACAGAGGTTCTTCTCTTAACTTAGCACCCACTGCTCATTTGCTATTGCTGACTGCTTCAGGGATGCTCCTTGTTTTGCAGAGATTTATCCTCACCTTGAGCCAGTCATGCTTCACCTACTTGCCCGGTGTGCTGCAGCCACTTGGTTGTGAGTAGCAACCTGTCCTGGTGATCTTTCCAGGTCCTCAAGCTTCCCAGGAGTTTGAGTGCTTGCAACTGTCCTGCTCAAGCAGCTCCAAACGTGGATATAAAGCAATGACATTTCAAGTATAACAACAAAAAGCTACTGCAATTTAAAAATGGATGCACTCTCAATCTCTAATAAATAGCAGTCTACTTCTAACTGTTGCTTTCTTTGTCTAAAGGAAGAGCATTGATTATGCTTATATGTGGGATCACTCACTGTCCCTGCCAACTGTAAGTCATACGGATACAAAGGAATGGGCAGGGGAGCCTCAGGGTGAGCATAGACTATTTCTGACCCAGCAGGTGGGTTTGGTGTAGGTCACAGCAACTGCAGTTAAAACACAACAGAGTTGTGTGTATAGGGGCATAGAGCTAGCTGTAATATTAAACAGCATGTAAGTTAAATGCTATACTTAACTATGGAGGGAAAGGGGGGGGGAGGAAGAGAAGGAGAGAGAAGAGGGAGAGAAAGAGAGACGGAAGGAGGGGAGGGAGAGGAGGGAAGGAGAGGAAAAGGGAGGGGCTTTTTCCCAACACATAGCTTCAGCTAATTACCTGCTTCACCTATTACATGTTTCATCTATTATATGCAAAAGAGAAACAATCTACCAGGTGGCCCTGAGCTTTGATGTCTCTAACACCAGCAGGAAACATGCAAGAAGATGTAAAAACAAAGGTGGTGTGACAGTACCTTTCCTGTAGCCGCAAGCCCTGCCATGCTGTGAGTGTCTGGGTGGTATACTCCAACATCCACAGTTTGTAGAACAGCATCATATTGAGAATGACCAGCAACACCAGGCTGCAAATAAAGAAAGCAGTCATTTACTGTGAGTGCTGCTACTCCACTGCCTGCTTGTCAGACCTGGGAAAACACCCAGGGCTTTCTCAAGGTTCCTGGGACCCAGGTCCACGCTGTGTGTAGTGAGGATTTACTCTGAGTAAGGGCCAAGAAAGCAGAACCCAAAACTTCATCACATGAGAGAGATGTATAAGGAGGACAGATAGCAATGACTGATGCATCAGACTGAAGGAGTGGACGTGCTGAATGTGGAGAAGGGGAGGGATACAGGAGAATAAGGAGGCTTTAAAAAAAAAAGAGAGAGAGAGAGAGACAGTACCTGAAACAGATCCTAATGGGAGCAGGGAAGAGAAAAGACGGAGTAGCTGCAGGTTAGAAACAGACTGACACAGAATAGGAGAAACTGGGCTGAGCAGAGAAGGCTCACAGACAGTGCAGAAGATAAATAGCAGGGAGGAGGGCAGGAAGGAACAGTGGGAAGAGACTCAAGAGGGAAAGAACAAACTGTGGGCTTGCAATTACTGAAATTCAACCACAAAAAAAAGACAAGCTGTGTGGCTCTTACAGGCACCTATAAAGAGCATTCATGCAGGGCACTGCCACATAAAGGCACGCTGCAGCCAGCACTCCCCACTCTTGCTTTGTGCTGAAGTGGGAATGCCACCACAGGCTGTGCAAACCACTGCTTTCAGCACACAGGGTTAGCACATGGAGGGCTCTAAGCTAAGCTAGCAGCTTTGCAAGAGAAAGTTTTTGTGCCTTGTCATTCACCTGTCTAACCACACAAGGCAGCACCAGGTGCCTGCCCAAAACTGTCACAAAGGCCCATATTTCTCCAACAGCTCTGAGTTGTAGCTGTAAACTTCTGCAGCCTTCCTCCCCCTAGGGAAAAAAATGCAGAAAAACTAACTAACCCCAGCCTGCCAATCTCAGCCTCCTCACTAAAGGACGAGTGGATCCTATGAAAAGAGTGACCACAAGTTCTGCTGTTCCTCCACAGTTTTAATATTATGCCTTCAGCTTCCTTAGCAATAAAAACACCTGCTGTACCTGGACTGCTGCTTTAATTTGTACTGCTTCTCAGCCCTGCCCAGCTACAGCTGCAGCACTAGCACATGAAAGCTACAGGCAGGCCAGGAGGCAGAGAAGCAATAACCACTCCTGCCCTTTCCACATGAAGACTGAGTCATGGGAATATAAGGCTCACTCAAAGCACACATCCAGCAAGCCCAAGACAGACTGAATATGGTTCTTGCTGCTGATCTAGTGAGAACACTGACGGGAGCAGAGAACACCAGAAACATGAGAGGAAAAAGTTAACGGCTGACTGTGAAGGCAGAGTTAAAATAAAAAACATCACTTACACAAAACTGATGACAAGGAGCAGCTTGGAAACGCTCTGCAGGTGGAAGCCACTGGGGCTCTCCTCGGGGATGTGCCGTGTCTGTGTGGAACCTGAGGAGACAGGTGTGTGTAGGCTATGAAATGCTGTCCCGTGGAGAGGGCAATGTTTTTCCTACATTTTCCTACTACATGATCCTCTAACTTATTCAAAACAATACTCATGGATCCACTGCTCTGGAAAGCCCAGGCTTTTCTCTCCATTAACTCTCCATGAGCAAACTTCCAGCTTGTCTCCAGGGCTTGTCCAGCTCTCCATCCCCTAGTGTGAGGGGTCTGTGGTTCCTTACCTGCCACGTGTTTGATTCGGTGAGCAACCTCCTCATCCGTGGGGGTGGTGACAGGACTCAGCACCTCCTCCAAGTGCGGTACCCGCAGATGGGCATGGGCCCGTTTCCTCCGGCGGACTGTTGATTGCTTGCTCACTTTCTCTTTGGGGGATTGTCTGTGGACCTCAGCCAGGTAGGTGCTCTCTGTTTTGGTCAGTTCACTTTCTGCAGTGACAACGAGGAGAGAAAGCATTTAATAGAAGCGGAACTAGCACTGCAATGATACAAACTCTGAGCTCTCTACTGGCACAGCAGCTGGATGGAGTTCAGGTATTGACTGCCGGGGTATGAGATGACTGTGCCACAGTACACACTACAGATCCCCCACACCTTCAGCCAAACCCTTACCCCACACTCGTGTTAGAGAGGAGCTGATGATCAGCAGGTGCTGCCAGATGCTGGGCAGTAACTTTAGCTGACCCCATTTAAAAGCCTCTCTGAAGTCTATTACACTGCCTGCTTATAGGAGACATGCATAAGCTACTGAGAGTGCTGCTGTCGTTGCAGCAGCTCTGGTCACTGCCACCCTTACCTAAATGACGGAAATAATCTTCCAGGCCGCTCCAGAAATTCTTCTCAATGAAGGATTTTACCAGCCCCCAAGGCTGTTTCCTGTAACGTAACTCTGTGGAAACCCTGCAAGAAGGAGAAGTCACTCTCCATTTTCCTTCCAGAGGTTACATCAATTCCCAGTCCATTGTCAATGTGTACATGAGAATCAATCATGCCCACGCTTACTTCTGGATGGTTTCTTTCCTTTGTGTTTCCACATTAGAAACACGACATGAAAAGTCCTTCCAAAAGCAGGAAGGCTTCAAGAGAGCTTCACCTGAGAGGATTCCCAACACCCCTGGCCATATGCAGGCAGGCATATAGATTAGTTGGCAGAATGAAACACAAGCCCTACAGTTTTTCCTAATACCAAATTCCTGGTGCTTCACAGAGGCACAGCCTGCAAGTACGTCCTACTGCTTAGTGCATTCTGTTTGCTGCATATGGCAGCTGCTCCTGCAAACAACTGCTTCAAAGAATTCAATCTGCAGATCTCCCTGGTCCAACCAGAAGTCCTCTGCAACAACTGTACTGTTTCCTCAGTGCTGCCACAACAGGCAGCTGCTCCATGCTAATTCTCTGCGACAGGAGTTTTCTGGCAACAAGGACACAAGGCTCAGTTCTCCCCATCCCTCCTAGCACACCAAGGGAAGCACTCCCACCCAAAGGTGACTTTTGGTTGTCAGTAAAGCTGTTCATCCCACCAGAAGTGTACCTGAGTCGGCTTTTGTTTCTGGCAACACGAGTCAGTGTGTAGCGGTTAATGGTGTAGAAATAATCATGGTAGGGGACGTCGTGAGTTAGCACCTCTGCATCTATGACATAGCACTCGCTTTCTTGGCTGGCTTTGTACATTGTCTGCATAAAAGACAGCATGCAAGGCAACTATTAGTCTGGTTAGAACATGGCTTTGATAGATAGGCACCTTTACTAGCACTTCACAAACACAGCCCCGTGACAAATAGACCATGCCCATGCCCAAGCCCCATCCAGCATTTTGCATCAGAGACAGTTCTCTGCCACATGAGGACCAATTCTGAGGGACCTTTGCAGCTGTTATCTCTTCTCACTGAACTAATATCTAGCTTTTCATTTAGCAACCTGATCTAAAAGGAGAGCTGACCCTGCTTTGAACAGAGGTCCTTCAAATCTGAGTACAGTAAGGACACATCAGTCAGTTTGTTTAACTATTTCTGATCTGCTTCTTTATTTGTCTCCAAAAAGACCTCAAGGGGGAACAGACACAGTAACTGAAGACCCATAATAAAACTGTGGCTTTTCTTACAGACTCTTCCCACTTACCTCTGCAGTGAGGACACAGTAAAGTGCACCTCTGTGGTTGGCACCACATTCAGAATAAAATACCCCATGTCCTTGCTTGCCTGTAAGTGTGCCCTCTGCCCATCACCCTATCCTATCCTTTCTCTTACCTTCCCTGCACACAGTCCTTGCTTCTGCACAGCACACTTCTTCCCACCTTTGCAAGGTGGGATTCTCCTTCCCTGAAGCACACTGCTGAGCCACCCCCATCTTTTCTTGATTCCCCTTAATATTCTCTCAAGCTAACTTACAGCTCTTATCCTTGATCACTTGAACACATCTCTGGACATGGGTGGAGGCTTTTGATCTCTGTAGCACCTACTGGATATAGGTAGCCCAGCTCTTAACGCACTGCAGATGCTCCCATTTTTTATTTTATTTTTTACCTTTTACAGCAGCCATCTAACTGTCCTCACCACTAAAAATCCTGATAGCACTGTGCAGAGCTGTGAGACAGATGAGCTGACGGTACGTGACTGTCCTGTGCTGGGCAGCACAAAAACCACCACAACAGACAGATGTTAGAACCTGCTGCTTGGTGACCAACAGATCTGCTTTTGCTGGAAATGTAACAGTCCTTTCCTTGCAGCACAAACCAGTGCGAGCTTAAGATCAGCTCTTCACATTTGCAGTGATACTGGGTAGCAAGTTAATACAAGAAAAATGTGTAAAGGAAAATGGATAGGGAAGATGCAAACGTGCAAAGCAGCATGCCTGAGGCAAGAAAGAAAATCACAGGTCTGTTTGTACAAAGCATTGCACCAATGCTGCACTTTCACATACCTGTGTCTCAGTGACAGTGGCAGTTTTGGGAGCCAGAGGGTTGGTGAGGGTAATGGTATACAAGATCACTCTGGTTTGATTGCCATTTTCTTCCTTCTTCCAGGGGTGAAAGATAATATCTGAGAGGAGAAAACAAGATTCCATCAAAGTAATTGAAAGGGATGCCAAGTCAGAAAAAAGGCATGTCCAAATAATAACCAAGCTCAGGAGAGTATTTCCTTCCCCATGCAGAGCCCAGTTGCAGAAGCACTACAGTTTAAGTAAGTATGTAGGAAAGGTCTCCTGTACTAAATGTGATCACTGCAGGGACAAGGTGCATCCTCTCCCAAGATTAGATGGGAATATTTCTGCCTGGAGCTGCTTTCAAGCAGCTCTGCCCTGAGCTTGCAGAGTCCTGCAAGTCTGCTAGTCTGAGGGCTAAGCAGGGCAGCTGCAGAAAGAGCCTCACTGCAGCACGGCTTCAGATTTAGACACCCACAAGGAACCACAAGTGTGAGGAATACTTTCCCCTCCTGCAGTGCAGGGAGAAGGGGTAGGCTGGAGTTGTTGCTCCTTTTGCATCCTAGAGTTATAGGGAAAGGAGGACAGCAGTATGCCAAGGAATGCACTCTGTGCATCATCAGTCTGTGTGCCAGTGTCTGGTGTGGAGCTAGCTATTTTGTTGATTATTAGGCCTTGAACATGGGATCAGACCTTAGTTGACAGCAAAAAAAACACAGATAAAGAATGTGATTCAACCATAAGCTTACACATGGCTCTTAGACAATAAACCCACAGGGCTAAACAAGGCAGGTTCTGCTTGCTTTTGACTGCCATCAGTACAGATTACAGCAGTCCCTCAGCAGCATTACCCAGTGCCTCTATCATCAGCCACACTGTGCTTCCAAGGGATGTGCTCTAGAGCTACACACTAAGACCCTGCTTCTATGCAGACGTCTGCAACTCACAGGGAGCACAGCCCCCATCAGCAGCTGGGCTTTGCCAGCAGCAGCTTACCAGAGAACCGGCGCTGTTCCATGAAGTCCCTCTGGAACTGGGAGTCCGTGAAAAGCAAGTCATACAGTTTGTCCACGCTGAAGTTGAACACTTCATTCACATACTGACGGCCGTTCAAGTCCTCATAAAACGCCTGGACTTCACCTGTGGGAAAACAGGCCCGCCAGCCCCACCTTGATCCTCTGTGCCAGCATCACAGGCTGTGCTTTTACAGGACAGTGCTTCACAGAATGGAACTGCTTTTACCCTTTTTCTCCACTGATCCCAGGACAACAGCAGGGACATCAGGAGGGGTAATGGCAATTTTTAGGGACATTTTCCAAATACCCACCCCCCCATATTCACTTCCTGCAGTCTAGACCAAGAATTCTTTGCATCTGGAATTTAAGGTCCAGAAAACGAATTCAGTATTTGCTGTCCCAGTCCCTCCATGGAAGAGGCAAAGGAGAGCACTCATGGCCTGCCCTGCATACCTTCATCATGGGTCTCAGACGAGTCGCTGAGCTCAGTGGGAATATCTTCATTGTCATTGAAGTCCAGGGAAGGGGAGTTCACAGGGGCAATGATCTCTATCTTCTCTCCCATGATATTTGCAATGCCAAGGTCTTTTTCCACAGGACTCTCTGCTACCGCCTCCTCCTCTTCTGGTAGCACCCCATCAAACTGCAGCGAGGACAGAGCACAGTGAGGGCACCACCAGCAACTAGAAAGTGGGGATTACTTCTGACAACTATTCATATCTGCATATTGTTCATATTCATGTATTATCACACCTTTGAACATTTGGCCTCTACATGTCTGGAAATTAAATAATGGAGAGGTGAAAAGTTACCACGTGGTACTTGTATAAAGCACGTGGGGGCATTAGATCACATCCTCTCAAAAAAAAACACACGTAATTCAAGCTTGGGATATACACATGGCTTTTCATTTGTTCAGACAAATGCACAAACAAGAGTTTTTGTGCTCCAGACAAGTACTACACCAGCTAGGAAAATATGAGTTCAGGTTAGAGTCAAACAAGGTGCACTCTGCTGCACTGCTAACAAAGTTGCCCACCACTTCTACCACGCTGCAGGCAGAGGAAGAACTGTAATTCCTTTATCTCCAATTCTCCATTTCTTTTAACCTAAAACTGTAAGTGGGGAAACAGCCTTGCTGCTGGGAGTGCGATGTATAGCTTTTAGGTCAGGCACAGCTTGCTTACATCCCCTCAGGCAAATGTCACGAGCTCCAAAAGGATCTCACATGGACTGTGGTTGCCAGTGAAATCCCAGAAAAAAGGACTAGTGATGCCACTGCAGTGGAGGAAGACACTTACTGAGGCTGGTGCTTCACTGCTCCCTGTGGATGTCAGTGTGCTGGCAGTTACTGATTTCTTTGGCAGCTGAGGGCTAGCTTCTGGCTTGGCCTCCATGCTGCTTTTTGAGGAGCTGTCATTGACTTCATTCTCTTCCACGGGAATTTCTTCACAGTAGCTGAGACGCCACAGAGAACACAGGTTTTTATGTTTACACCTCTCTGTACAGCTACAACTGGACACACAGAGCAAGTAAGAATATTTCTGTGCAGTCTCTAGTCTGATTGGAAGAGCAGGGGAGATCAAGCCCAAACTATTCAAGTGTTTATACACAGACTGACAAGCATTAGCACTTTCTGACCACGCAACATGCTGACTAGCCCAGTGAATGGGACACTTTGGCACATTTACAGGATCACTCATCTAACTCAGCAAATGGAGAAGCAACTCCTTTCAGCTCCTACCAGTTTCTAGGAGGAACTGGTACACTTTCAGCTTTTTAGCCATTGCACACCTACTGCCACAGAAATATTTGGCCAGAACCCAAAATCTCTCAGCAGGGACAAACAGCAGTTCGACATGAAATACTGAAGGACTTTTGCTCTCCTGAAGCCATCTTTTCTTCATCACAAACAGACACCATTCCCTCACTCACCCCATTGTGTTGAAATCATCATCTGGAGGCACATAATCTTCATCATCGCTGGTCAGACCCAGCTCATTCCCATAACACTGGTGGACAAAGTGCCAGAGCTCCTTTGGGCAGAGAGGCTAAAAGAGAGAACAGAGATTAGGGTACACTTTCAACCCAAACGACTAAACCATACTGAATACACCACGCTTACACTGGGACTCACACTGCCAAGTGCTAATTTAGCACTGTCTAAACAATTTTCATGTTTGACTCCTGTTGCAGTTAATGGCAGTGAGCAGCACTGAAGATTAGGATGCCCTTTTTCCCCAGCATGAGGCTACACCCAGAACAGCACAAGTAATGTGTTTTCCTGCTACTACAATGCTGTGCATGTAACCATGCAAGCAGTAAAACATTGCTTTCCTCCACATGCATTCTTCCTACTTCCTACCTCCTACCTCTTCTGCTCCATATAGTGTCTCCTGCTATGCCAAAGCCCAATGCATTAGGAGATTTCTTTCCCTCCAAGTCTGCTTAAATAAAAGCCACCTGAAAACTACAGAAACCAGGAAAACTATCTAGAGAAACATTTTCTACTGCAGTTTAAAATCAAGAGAAGTTACTACTGGGAAAAGCCTATATGTATCTCAAGTTAAAAACAGAAAATGAGTTAACAAGACCATTCACAAAAGCCCAACTTTTCAGGGATGCAGGTCAGCTGACTGCCATATGACTGCATTCTGCAGCTCAAGAAAAGGGGCAGAACTCGTGATTTAAGTACGTGGGACATGAGTGAAAGAAAACAGATTTTCACATGTGAGAAATGTATGACCAATGACAAAGATTTCTTGGTAATGATGGAAAATAACCCTAGGGGACTTTTTCAGAATTGCTGGCTTGAACTTGTTTGCACAGTTACTGTACGCGGTAAGGCAGGAAATTTTTAAACTAGTTCCTAAAAGTGGCCATCAAAAATGAGAAAAAAGACTCAAATGAGAAATTTTTATCCAGAATCAATTTCTCATTCTGTTTGACCTTCTTTTCACATACACTCTCTATAATTCACACGTCCTGTCAAGAAAACCACACTCGGCTCTGTCACTCCCTCTCCTGCTAGGCACTGATCCCACACAGGGACAAAGCTCTCTCTAAGTGTTTCCTGCCTTGATCACTCCGTATCTCAGTTCCCATTCGCTATGACTTTGAAACCAAGGGCACTAAATTTTGTTATGAACTTCCAAAGGCTGATTAAATTACAGCATATGGTAGCAACAGAAGCTGCCTATTGCAAAGTGATCCCTTTGCACACTAGATATTACCCCAACCTCAGGACAGGGCATTCTGGTACACAACAACTTCAGCCTTCAGTATAGTGTGAACTTAAGCCCAAACATCTCCAAATGCTGGCAACCCTGTAAGATCAGCTCATAAGTCTTACTCGTGCAGCAAAGCCAGAAATACTCAATGGACAGTGGAACAGATACTCAGACCAAATATAGTATATACAGTGACTCTAGCACAGCAGGTGCATTTTCCCACTTTATTTTAAAATCCAACCCACTGAGCCTTTACTCAATGTACCCCGCACCATTCTCATTCTAACTGGGGATGCCCTTTACACTTCTGAAGCACAGACATACTAAGAACACTGTCTGTGTGCTGAGTTGTCTGTGTTACAGTTTGAATTGCTTTCTTCTGGGCTGTAATTTGATTACAGAGCTGAAAAACCTCTCTGAGGCTTCCACACCTCAGCAGAGTCAGAGAGACACCCACTGCATGTGCAAGACATGCCTGTAGGTAGACAGAATTCCATGCAAAAAGAGATATTTGCACCCACAGCAATGTCCCTGCTTCATCTAAACACACGTGCTTGTTGCCATTACATCTTTTATGTACACAATTAGTCCCAGGAATTGTGCTTCTGCATAAATACCCCAGCTGCCTTTCATTCCACCCGAATGCTGAGGTGCTGGCCTCAATACCTTGTCAAGGAGAGCGTTCTGCCAGAGTCTGAACATCATCATGTACGTCCTGTCTCGAGCCCCAAAGGAAGTAAAAAAGTGCTGAACGGGAAGAGATGGAAAGAAAAATCAGTTCAGAAAAGGCCCTCAAAGAGATGAAGAAAAACACCTCTTTGGATCACTTTTCAGAGACAGTGCACAGAAGGGCTGAGCAAGCCGTACAGCACTGCCGCTCGGTTCTTGGGCACAGATACAAGTCCACAGAGCCTGCATGGCGTGGCTGAGTGCCTCTCGACCAACAGAGCTGGTCTGAGCACAGAAAGAGCTCCATCAGCTAAGGAATACTGTATAACCCAGCTCTACTTCCACAACACTCCGTTATAGGAGCTACATACATGAATTCCAGACTCAGCTGAAGCCCAAGGTCTGCAGAAGCTCTGCACCCAGCCCTTTTCCATTCGTGCTTTCTCCCATGCCCCATGAACCACCAGCAATCCTTTCCATTCAGAAAACTCCCATGGAGGTGGTGCTAACTCCATTCCCCTGCCCGTGACACCCAGAAATTGTGGCCCCAGAGGTGGAGGCTTCCAGGAGGTACCTTTTCAGTGTCAGTGCAAACTTGGATGGCATTAGGAATGAGCCGTGCTGTTTTTTCCTTGGTCATCGAGCAGATATCCTTCAAGCGAACTGTCAGCTACAGTCAGAGCCATGCAGAAAGGGGAAGGCAGAAAAAGAAAGCAGGTAATGAGAGACACTGGTGAGAAGGACGACGGAAAGAGTGCTTTTAAAGTTGTCAGCAAATATACTGACGTAAAACACATGCTCAGTGTGCCAGTCAGAGAGCCTTACCAGCGTCTCCCAGCGGAAGATGTTGCTGTAAAAGCAGATCCAGTTTTCAGAGAGGTAGAGGCGGCCCTGCAGGAGAATGTCTCTTTGTAGCGCACATGAGTAATCTGCAGGTGAACAACAGATGGTAATTAAGGAGCATCGAGATGAGGAGGCAGGACAGCCTAAATGTGAGGCTAAGCAGCAGCACCAAGGGAAGTTACTCAACGTAATTCTGCAGAAAGTCAGTGCAAAGCCAGAAGGAGCTGCACCACAGCTGCTGCTCTGTCCACTGGGTTGCAATTGCAGCGTGCTGCAGACCATCTCTCTTAGTGACACACTGCCTTGCCCCATTAGCTGGCCATGTGGTAGCATTTTATGAAGTATTTCTAGATTTTAACCTGGGTTTTCCTTCTCACCTTCTAGTGTTGTTGCTTGTTTCTCTCCCAGTTTAAGCCTCCTCCTAAACAATTTCTAGTCCTCTGCTAGTATTGTGCATACTTGAGCAGTATGAGACATGGTATGAGATCATCAGTTACATAAGATAAAAGAACAGATGCAATGCAGCAGGCAGTCACTAATCAACTGCAGGACCAAAGCCTAAATGTATTTAGGGAAGGCAGTGGTGTGTGAGTAGGGAGCACTGGAGATGTACAAAAGAGTTCAAAAAAAGGGAAGTTCAGCAGTGTGCACATTAAGACACACAACCCTGACCAATGGAGGAAAGAGCTCAGACACTAACAGTGAGATCTGGGGAGAACTATGGAGGAGAACACACTCCTCAAACCATCAGGAGACAACACTGCAGCCGATACCAACCAGCTTTGCTTTCCATGAGCCAAACAAATGACATCTATTGGAAAGAGTGAGGAGAGGGAACTGCCTGTGGACAGGAGACAACAGGCTTGCTTCCTGGTGGCAGCCTCTTAGGAGAGGGAAATGCTGCATGTACATGTGCTGCTTTAATCCTAAAACCACAGGCCTGCACAAAAAAAGAGCACTGCACAAAGGGACTGTCCTTACCTACGATGAGGCGCTCCGTGTCAGGAAGATGTTTGAAGAGTTTCCTGAAATCTTCATTCCGTTGTTTGTAGGTCGGACTCAATACCTGCAAATAACAGAGAGCCTGTTAAAGAGAGGGGCAGGCATGAGCATGGAGAAATGGAGTGGGAAAACAGGAACACCTTGGTAAGGAGAAGGGGGATCAGATGCACTTACAAAGCATGAGGCCAGGAGCTCCCATCACAGCAGACACACAGATGGGAGGATGTGGGAATCATTGCATTAAGTGAGAGGAAGAGGAGAACCTGACTTGGAAGAATAAGTACAGCAGAGAAGGTCTATACTTTTGTCTGCAATGCAGAACTGCATGGGAGCTGTGACTGCAGAGAAAATCTCTTTTCCTGCCATCATACACTGTCCAAGGTATGATACATGCTCAGTTCTAATGCATCAGTTAGCTACCAATGCCATGAACAGCAGAGCAACCCCAGACAATAGGAGCTTAAGTACAGCTGCAGCCCTGACACAGGAGCTTGAGTGATCAATGTCACCAACAGCTCCACAGTAACGCAGTCATTCCCTTTCCCCTCCCCATCAAGTGCTTCACCTGGCAGCCAGTGAACCCACCGCTACCTGCTGGCAGAGGGGGAACGTGGTTGCAGAAGAGGTTTGTGTGGGGGCTCAACCACGTTTCTCACTTATTCTGCAGACCTCATGGAAGGCACCAGAGGAGGCCGTGCTGCTGGCTGTGGGGAAATCAGGAGCTGGCTTCTCTCTGGTCTTTACTGAGCTTAATGCAAGTCTGTCCCTGGGCCTACAATTCCAGCCAAAGACCACCTCCTAACGCCATGCACACGCTGACAGCAGCTCAGAACAGCCAGAACATCTTCTGCAGGCAGAGCTGATTTAAATAAAGGCAGGTGCAATTTCAGGAGGACTGAGTATCTCATCAAATCTCTCATGCTTCATCCCACAAAGGAATGGCAGAGCAACTTGGGGAACCCTCCCTTTCCTCTCAACAATCCTTTCCTACCTCCTCCAGCTGCAAAATACAACTCTCCCAATGCAGAATGGTGGGCACACATCTGAGGGCTCTCCCACATTAGTCTGATTATAGAAGAGTCTGTTTGAGAAAAGGGGGAAAGCGGGCACATATAGTGGTGGGGGAAATACAAAGATTGCTTAGCACTACCCTCTCAAAACCATCAAATGGTGTCAAAGCCAAGACAGAAGCACAGATTCCCACTCATAAACATTCCCTCTTCCACACACCAATACAATGAATCAGAAACAGCACTGTTTCAACATTATTTTAGTACTTCAAATACATGCTCCAGCCCTGTGTGCCCAAAGGCAGGCCTTACTTTTGAATAAATAAAACCTACAAACCAGCGATTGACAAAAATACGATTTCACTCACCAAACTTCTAGCCAGAATATCTGGAAAAGACCTTGGACAGAGATGGGCTCCACCAAGAGCTTAAACCCAAGATTTCCTGGGACCAGCAGAGAGAATGTGCAAAGGAGGTGCGAATAAGACTATAATCAGCCCTGAGCTTTGGGTTCATTGCATTATAGCAACCAGATTTAGCAGTATGGTCTCCATACGGAGGAGTGCTCCACTGCCTCTCCCACTGTCTGGGTTGTTCTGACCTGTCCAAAGCCTGTAGACACTTCTGCTTAGCAGAACTTCTGGTACAAACACTTCAGTTTAGAGACACTCACAGCTGGAATTCCATCTGATCCATTGTAGAGAACCTCTTGGAGTAGGTCAGCAAGCCCCTCCAGGTCCCACTGCGGATATGGGAGTTCTTGATCCAGTATGGGATGCCAGAGAACCCCGCACTCCAGCAAGGAATCCATGGTGCTCCCTCAGCACTTGCACAGCTCCCCGTGTTCTCAGTCAAACTCTGCTTTTCCTGTTCCTGCTGTCACCACTTCTTGTTTAGATTCAATGTCGAAGGAGATTCAGCAGTTTGGCAGGAGTTTACGTGCCTTCCCCTGCTTCCCTGCTCACATTCAGGTCATCTGCCCCAGCGGCCTCTGCAGAACTGAAAGAGGACTCCTCCTCCAGAAGACTTCAATAAAGAGGCTCATGAGGATAAGCGTGGTAATGGTTGAGCTCCTCTCTTCCAGTCTTCCCAACTTGTTGCTGAGGGTATCCTCTGAAGAAGGGCTGTAAATATGCCGACAGCCCAAGCAGCTCTGTGCAATGCCTTGTCTGCAGCCCCGACGGCCAGCACTGCCAGAGCTGCTAACTAAAATAGTTCCAATTGCCAGCACCCTGCCAGCCCAGCAGTATTCACAGATCTAGCTGCAGTTCCAGGACGGTCAGCAGCTCAGAGACTTCAGCTGGTTGTTTGCTTTTTTTTCCCCTTTGAAAGCAGAAAAGCAGTTATTCCTCAGTGCCCACCGCAGGCTCTCCTCTCCTGTCCCTCTCGGCTCTGAAAAGCAGTTTCAGTCTCTGTTTCTGTAGGAAGGAGCGGGTGTGGAGATACCGAAACCACTCGCACATGCTTTAAGTTACTGTGGCTGGGTAATTCTGTGGGCCAATGCCCTGCAGTAACCCAGGCTGGGCTCTGCCTCCCAGCAGATGTTTCCTGTAATGGAAAGTTGCTGGACAGAGCGTGCTGGGGGAGGCGTGGGGGGGGTGAGGGGGGCCGGGGTAAGGAAAGACCAGCCTGCAGAACATAGTCATGATGAAATCAGCCATCTGAGATGCACACAGTTAGGACTTCAGGGCTCAGCTACTCCTGTATGCATTACTGAGCCCCTCCAAAATGGGTCTGGGTTCGGTGTCACCTCATCAGTTGGGTCACTTTGGGAATGAAGAGCAAGAGCTCCTTCGGGCACCAGCAATGAACTCCCTGCAGGTCTCAGAATCACAGAATTGTAGGGGTTGGAAGGGACCTCCAGAGATCATCGAGTCCAACCCCCCTGCCAAAGCAGGTTCCCTACAGCAGGTCGCACAGGTCGGCATCCAGGCAGGTCTTGAACATCTCCAGAGAAGGACTGCTGGAGCACAGCTCCCTGTATCCCTCTGCCCCTCACCTCCACCCTGTCCATCTCTTTACTCAGGCACAGAAACACAAAGGAAACGTCCACACCAGCACTGCTCAACTGCAATGCTGTCTGTGGAAACAAGAGACAAGAATAAGGAAGAAACAGCCTCATTCTTCCAAATAACCTGTGCACACAGCTGTCTCCAAGCAAACTAACAAACCACTGGAAAGCCACAGTTTCACTGCAGGGCCAGCAAGTGCAGGCTGCCCACAGACAGGGAGAAGCACCAAGCTGCTCCGGTGCACTACAGAAGCACTGCTGGGGCCTGTCGCCATTAGAAGGGCACATCCATCAGTCACCCCAAGACACAGAGAGAGCAAAGCGATTTCTGCAGCCTAAAGAGGATGATGTACCAGCACTGCAGACAGCCACGAGCTATCTGCTTTGTTGCACCGGATGTCCCTCCTTGCTGCAAATGACTCACGGGATTACTTCTAGCAAACCCCTCAGATTACACACCCACCATCCCTGTGCCAGATCTGAATGGCACCAGTGATCAGATGAGCTAACCCGGAGGTGGGGACAGCAAACATTAACTCTTCTGCAAACAGAAAGAGACGGGACAGGATGGCACTGCGAAGGGTGGAGAGGAGACTCAAGGGAGGAAAGGGGAGAACGGGGCGCCCAGGGTCACATCTTGCTGATAATACACTGAGAAATGCATGGGAAATCTAAAGCAGCCACTGCTGGGGGATGGGACAGCACAGGGGAGTTTGACAGCACAAGAACTGAGAAATAAATGGTGTTGGTACAGCATGTGGCACAGAAAGCAGGTGGGTCAGGAGAGAGACGGCATGAGGCAGGGAGAAAAGGGGAAAGGAAAACCTTGACTGATCTGCATGAGTGATGGATTTGCACCTAACATTTAAGGAAGATTTACGTTGCTTCTGGACAGAACAGAAACACGACTGGAAAGGCCAGGATACACAGCGTGCCTGGGAGAGAGTTCCAACCCCACTGACAGCAGGGCTGCTGTGCTGATGAATGCCAGCAGGGAAACTGACCACCTGTCCCACAGCTTCTCTTCTTGACCTGGTTTGCTCCCTGGGGCCTTTTTTCTTCTTTTTCTTCTTCTTTTCTTTTAAAAGTGATTGAACAACACAGGGAGAAGCTTCAGAGTAACCACTGGCAGCTCGTGGTTAAGAAGTGAGTTTGAATCTATCACCCCATAAGCTCGCACCAGAAATTCATTCCAACTCAGTGCCACTACACCACAGCAGCCATGCTGGGCACAGTGATCAGTACATCATATCAGGGCTGAAGGGAATGGCCTGCAAAACCACCTGAAGGACAGTGAGTTAGCAGTGCTTCAGGAACAGCTGGATGTGCGGTGATGGAACCCAGAAGCTGACAGCACTGACAGACAGCACCTCACTAACTCTCACCATCACGCCTGGATTTCTGCACTAAATCCTGCTGATAAGATCGCTGTTTCTGGTCAGACTCAGGCTTCCACCTGCCAGCTGACCTTTTCCGATGTCCTACCTAAAATAGTGCTTACTTTTCTTTCCAGCAGCTGAGAATTCCCCTTCACTCTGCTATCTGTAAGGTCTCCAACAGGGTGCTGCTTTAAAGAAGTCAGCACACCGACTCCACCAAAGGCTGATTTCTTACTGTGTTCAGCCCTGTGATCATCTGACGTAGTCACAGACAGACTGCACAGTCAGGTCAGCTCTTTACAAGACCACACTGAAGCCTGTCCCTCTGTTCAGCTGCTTCTCCTGCTGCCATTCCTCCTGCCTCCTTCACTTGCGTCCCTGCCTGTTGCAATCCTCGGTACAGACTGTGCTTTCCCAAAGACAACTTTTCAGACTTACTATTTAAGAACAGTTTAAAAAGGCAGTTAGTGTCTTCACACTGTAATTTTCCCACTCAGTGCCCTGGCATGGTCCTGCACATGGGTGGGGAGGGTGAGACTCAGGTTAGTTATAGGGAGAAGCTGTAAGAAAGCAAGAACGCAAGCTTGGTTGCAAAAGAGTAGGCAGGTGAAAGGGCTGGAAGTAGATAAACACAAAAGAAAGGAGTACAGACTATGGCTGTCCTTGAGTTCTAAACATTAAACTGCGAACAAACCTTGTGGACATATATATACAAATAAATCTTCCATCTTCCCCAGCGTCAACTGTTTAACTTTCACAGTCATCTCATGCTATTTTCTGGGGATGTTCTGTGCTAACTCTCCTAGCACACAGCAGCCCCAGATCTGGGAGCAGAGATGGGAACCTACAGAAGCAAATTTTGCTACTGAGGGGCAGACATGAAACCCAAGTGCTCCTCCTCCCCCAAAGCCCAGCAAGAGAAGGACAAAGAGACTATTTTCTCTGTCAATAAAACGCCTCCAATTTGCCTCTAATTTTAAGGACTTGTACTGCGGGAATGATTCTTTCTGGTGACTTGTGGAGCTCCTGCATCCCACACTGTCAGCACAGCCTCCTCCTCCATTTCACCAGGGAAAAGGGACGTGAACTCCCCACTGCTAAGCACGTTGGGTCTGCAGAATAAGTCACATCTCTGTTTCAGTAAACAAAATTACAGAGAAAACTTGTTAGGGAAGCTCTGTTCTTTCCTTAAAAACAAATTTAAAAACTCTCTTAAGAGTAATAAACCAATCAATGATAATTTGGCACGCAGACGACTCAAACTGCATCCTGATGGATGAGCACAGATGGGTGAGGCACTGCCAGGGAGCTGCAGTCTGCACGAAAGCAATTCCTCCAGGCCAGGGGCTCCGTGTCTGACGCTCCCAACCAAAGGCAGGAGAAACACCTCAGCGACGTTTCCTTGCCATGGCTCAGCCAGCCCAGAGATGTTTGCTTTTCCACCATAAGGGCACAAACACAAAGCAAACCCATGGAAATTGAGTGCATTCATTCCAGTGTTCCTTTTCTAAAATCTCACAGTGAACCTGACCAGCTCGTACTCATCTCTGGAAAGCAAAGAAGAGAAAGCACCAAGAGCACAGAAGGACAGGTCTCTTGCCACATCAACCCATGAGCTTGGTTCACTCCCTTTCTCCCACTTGTCAGTCTGGTAGGGATGCCAACCCCAAAAAGCACTGCTAGGATCAAGAGGAGAACACGCAAGGGCAGAAAAGTTGGTAACATATTAAGGAAAAAGTAGAAAAAAAAGGAATCTGGGAGAGAGAAAAGGAAAGCTTCCAATTGGCAAACAGGGGCATGGTGCTACAGAGACAAAAAGACCAGTTAAAAGCAGCAAAAACTGACGCTGGCATTCTGACCACTGATGCTCTGGGGGGTTCTGAGGGCCGTGTGCTCTTTGAGGCAGGGTCTGTACCTTTAGTCTGGCACCCAGGGCCACCAAAGCGACACACGGAAAGCAGAGTGTTTGCTGCAAGAACACAGAACTTCTTGTACAATGGAAGCAAGGGCAAGTGAGATAAATGAAACATCGAGGCTTCACAATGGGGCTGCCTCTACAGATTCATTTCTAGAGCTGCTCTCAGTATGAAAAATAAACAGAGGAATCGGACCGGTCCAAGTGCCAGAAAAATCCTGCTGGGAAGGAGCTGGCAAAGAAAAGAAACTCTATCGAGGAGAAACATTAGCAAATTTTTAATATTAATACTGCCAATAGGATTTAATGCCTTCCTGGAGTTTGCAGCCCATCTGCGTCTCCACATTGCTGCTTTTATCTGGCCAGAACGTCTCTACTCACTAGAACATGTTTTATTTTCTAAAGGAAAATAATTGTGGGGCGAACCACAAAATATGCAGCCAGTGCTTACTCTCCGGATGTACTGTCTCTCATGCTGAAAATATATGGAGGAAAAACAAGAGAACAGAAAGATAAGATAGAGAGGACACAGAAAAACGAGAGACCCACAGAAGCAGACCACAGCAAAGCATCGTGCAGCAGGGTGTGCATCTCAGCAGCTACAGCCTGACTCAGCTCTTGTGCAACAGCAAAAGTCACCTTGAGCCATGGCCATGGCCTCCATGTGCCTGGCTGGGCTGCCTATGTGCCCCAGCTGCTTCTGACTGCCAATTCTCTGCCAACCTGCTCTCCTGTGTTTATCCTCCTCTCTTCATGCTATTGTCTCCATGCCACTATCTGTTTTTCTGAGGTCAACTCTTGCTTGTCTGTGCTGCTACCTTACAATCTGATTATCCACCTTGGCTCTTCTTTCCAGCAAATGGAGTTTGCAGTGATGTTGCTGCCAAGAGGACAGCTGTTCTGTGTTCACACATCTCTCTCTCCCCACTGCAGCCCTCCCTACTAAATTTCCTTCTCTTTTTGAGGGAGGCCTGCCCACTTCCTACCAAGAGCACAAAGAATTCCCACATCAAACCAGATACATTTGACACTTGGAATAATCGGCAAATAGGATTTCATCCCAAAGACATAGCAGACTTATCACTTAGGTATTACTGAAGCAAAAGGAGTAAGGTGTAAAAAGTAGAGAAAACCAACAAAGCACCTTCTCCTTTGCTGGTAGCAAAGAGCACGCTCCACCAGGAGCCCCTCCCTCTCT